CAAGTTTTGGGCTCGGCAAGGATTTATTGGTCTACTGAGTTTGAATGAGGAAAAACTTGCAGAGGGTAGAACATGAATAGCTCTTTTATTAAAACGAAACTCTACACTGGAATTGGCTTAAAGCATGACTAGTTACCCTTGCTATTTGTTAATGTTGAGTACCGTGAATGCTAGCGACGTCAATAAAGCGTGCACTTAATAATGCACAATATCAGGTGCCTGGTGGGAATGATTCGATGACACTATGTAATTTCTTCCACCTGGCCCTCACAGCCAGACCATTCACCCCTGATTCACCCCGGTATCCTTCAGACCCCAAACAGCCATTACAACCACAGATTGTAATGCCATTTGACAGTTCCATTTTGGTCTCAGGGGTGATCGAGGCAATCCCTATGTGAACAGTACAGTACACAAGCCTATGTAAATTTGCACAAGCACACTAGGTTTTCCCGCCAATGTTCAACCCTCCAGTTGGATCATAAGACTGACACCCCCTCCGGTGGATGTACCATGATCCATACTAGGCTCTAACGATAGATGACCCGGGGCATGGCTACCACGTGGCTGGGACAATATAAAACATAGAAACGGTGACAGTGATTAATACCAGCCAGCACGCTCCAGCTAAGATTTTAAATGAAAAGAAAAACCTTCAGGGGAAAGGTATGAACATTTGCCCCTATTGGAAGATCGAATGAAAAAAATCCTGGCAAGCATAATCAACTTTGCCACCATTCTAACCCCATCTACCGATTGTAGCAATTTCGAGATAAAAAGTAGGGTGTTGTTTGGGGGTTGGGAGGAGCTTAAACTCAATTTACGCCATGAGGGCGCTCTACGGAATCCGCATACAAGCTGCCCGTTTTCAGGTTATCAGCCTCAGTCAAATATTTTTCTCCCAGTTGTTTGGATGAAATATGGAAATTGTCATCCTTCTTATATTACTATAAACTAGTAAATTGGGGGAAAATATCATAATTCCTGGTAGAATAAAGGATGCACCCCAGTAAATAGGCCATCAATCTGTCCGCCAAGCTAATGAAAGTTCACATTATTATAGAAAGTTTTTAGAGTCACGGAGTCTGGCGATTGGGGACATCTGGCACTGCACCTTTCCTTTGTCCCTATTATTGGGGTATATATTAAAGTGTGCACCCCAATAATAGGCCATTAATGGATGCAATAAAGCCTGAATGTGGCGCTACTTGGTCATGTTGTAGAGGGATCCTTTTTCAAAATGGTTATTTTCCAGTTTGGGAAATGGTTATTCGTGCTTGGGGTGGTCTTCTTTGGGTGAGAATTTCTCAAAAAGTCATTGGACAACCCACCAAAAGATGAACGGAAAATGAAAGACGACTCGGACATCACTTTTTTTCTCCGAATTTTTTTTATGAAATGTGAGTCATGGATCATCGCTCGTGTTGGAAAAAAATAGCAGCATTTCCGGTATAATAAAGGGTGCAGAACAGCAGTAAAGAGGCCTAACATTGCCTAAGCGGGCCGAATAATGATTTATATGTCCTCAATTATTTGTTGCTATCAGTACCTTATGGCTTGTTACAAAAATATTGTTGGAAGCCGTGCACAGGACTACGAGTTCGCAAGTCAGATCGGAAATTCGGTCCAAATAGTGCACATGCGTCCATTCACGTCTACGTAAGGCTGTAGTCTATTGTGATTGTTTTACAGTTGGTACTTACGAATGTAACGTAGTGTCAATTGGATATTAAGCCAATGTAGTTAGTTGGTGTAAATTTGTATTTACTCGAATTTACCCATTCTAAATAACGCTCTACAATTTTCTACGTCATGTCCCGAAAAGGGTCATCAGGCGCGGCTCTAGAACCAATATTTGTGGGGGGCTAGCAGGGTGCATCCAGAGATTTTTTTCACTGGCAGGTAGGCGTGCTGAAATGTAGACAGGTTATTTTTCTCCGGCCTCCGAAAATCAATAGGTAGTGGTGGGGGCGGGGGGGGGGGGGCTCGCGCCATATTTGAAATGGGGAGCGCTGATAAAATCCTACAAAGTTAGACACACTATATTAACTAAAAGTGTACAAATGCACCCTTCACAGCCTTCTCATTTATCTAGGGGGAGACCGTTCACATTAACGTCACATTCTAGCATTTATAGTGCAATTTTTTTTATGGAATATTTGTTTTGGGGGGGGGCTCATCAATTTTTTTTTTGGGGGGGGGGGGCTAAATCCCCCAAGCACCCCTCCCCCCGTAGAACCGCCACTGAGGGTCATGACAAATTCTTGCGCCAATCCTGATTACAAGTGAAACAAAACCACACCGCAAATCCCTTCACTGTCCTTCGTCAGTAACTTGTTAGAATAAGCCTCTGTACTAATGACGTCACATTTTGTTTACACGTGTTTTCTTATGGGAGCCTAGTGGGGATGACTGTTTCATAGCCCCAAAGAAAAGCGCACAGGTAAAAAAAAGTGTCACAACATCAGTATAGAGGCTCATTGGTTGGCGGTCGTTTTCCTTTTGAACTTTGTTGGGCAAAATCCAGTATTCTGAGAGAGCAAAATCCAAACCCTGGAGTGTACTTTTCAATCTATTTATTATCAGAATGCATTTTTTGGAACTTGGTTTTGTCACATTTCACGAATCATCTACCGGATCTTTGCTGATATTTTCATGAGAAAATGTTACGCCTACGTGCGGAGTGGGTGGTGCCATTGTGCGGCGTTAACAAAGAGTCTATAGGGTCTACGTACTTCGTGCGGTCGTTTTCTTTTGAACTTTGTTGGGCAAAATCCAGTATTCTAAGAGAACAAAATCCAAACCCTGGAGTGTACTTTTCAATCTATTTATTATCAGAATGCATTTTTTGGACTTGGTTTTGTCACATTTCACGAATCATCTACCGGATCTTTGCTGATATTTTCATGAGAAAATGTTACGCCTACGTGCGGAGTGGGTGGTGCCATTGTGCGGCGTTAACAAAGAGTCTATAGGGTCTACGTACTTCGTGCGGTCGTTTTCTTTTGAACTTTGTTGGGCAAAATCCAGTATTCTGAGAGAACAAAATCCAAACCCTGGAGTGTACTTTTCAATCTATTTATTATCAGAATGCATTTTTTGGACGTGGTTTTGTCACGTTTCACGGACCATCTACAGAACATTACGGAAGTGTATTTAGGACATGACCACAAAAAAAAAATTCCGGCCCTCTATTTCGCCCGGGCAGATTACTTATTCGCCCGGGCGAATTAGTATTCTGCCCGGCCGGGATAATAAGTAATCTGCCCGGGCGAGTAAGTAGTCTGCACGGGCGAATTAGTAATCCGCCCGGACGGAATAGTAATCCGCCCGGGCGGGATAATAATCCGCCCGGGCGGGATAGTAATCCGCCCGGGCGAAATAGTAATCCGCCCGGGCGAAATAGTAATCCGCCCGAGCGGGATAGTAATCCGCCCGGGCGAAATAGTAATCCGCCCGGGCGAAATAGTAATCCGCCCGGGCGAAATAGTAATCCGCCCGGGCGAAATAGTAATCCGCCCGGGCGAAGTAGTGGGCCTTAAAAATATTTTCGGTCATGTCCTAAATACGCTTCCGTAGAACATGGCTGATATTTCCATGACAAAATGTTACGCCTTCAACGGCCTACGTGCGGAGTCGGTGATGACATTGTGCGGCGTTAACAAAGAGTGTATATGGTCTACGTACTTGCGAACTCCCTAATATGGTCTATATGGTCTACGTACTTGCAAACTCCCTAATTGCAAGTTTTGCATTATCCTGGCTGTGGCTGCCTAAGGCAAACTTTGTGCTTGCCTTCGGCCCCCCAAAAAAGTCTCCGGTTCCTGGTATGGAGCTTGCCCAAAAAGTGGTGCGGTGACGCGGCTTTTTTTACCATTTTTTTTTCTTCAAATGTCGGCTGATGACTGCAAATGGTGCCCGACTGAACTTAGTGCAAATGTATGGGAGTCCAGAGAGGCCACATAAAGCTTATTCTCGATCGTAGCCCCATCTAAAAACCGTTAAAATTGTGCAGCAGCAGGATTCCAGTCAAACCAGTGAGCTTGGCGGTTTTGAGACATCTTTCGTTGAAAAAAAACACCCTTTTTTTCATTTTGCCAACGCGCATGGCTACGGCGACGCGCGCGCATACCAGAAACCGGAGACCTTTTTGGCCTTATTGATCCAGATCCGATCCGATCTTACTCAAGAATGTAAAAGAGCAAAAAAGACTTGTCCGCCATATGGCTCCATAAAAGAGTGGATGTTTCTCCTTTTTTTTTACTTTAGAGTGTTTTACCCCCACAATTATGGTCCACAGTGACAAGCAAAGCTTGCCGTCATTTAGAAAGACATCAAGAAAATGTAGGTGATTTCCAACGATCAGTCAATATTGACTGATTTTTTTTATTATTTAAAGTGTGATGGACGAAATGGTATTTCGTGATCATAAGGCTGTGCATGTTTTTTTTTAGTGTGTTCCCGAAAAGTGTAATATCAACTGGTCTAACGCTTCAGCAGGTTTGGTTTTGAACACCGTTCATTAACTTCATTGGAGTTTGAGTGATGTTATATATTAGAAACGAGCACAATGGATGACAAGCAAATGATCTTATAATATCCGTGTTTCATCCTGAAAAAAAGAACGATTTCTTTTTTAAATGGACATTTTTTTTCCCAGCGACACAAAATTGATTTTCTTTTGAATGAGAAGTTTTGCGGCCAAACAGTAACTTAGACCTTGCAGGGTAGACTGGTCACCGCCCCATTACCAGAATCGATGAGTATAGGATAAGAGATCCAGTCTACTCGCAATGCGGATCTGCTTGTTGCAAAAGCAACCCAAAATAAACGTTATGTTCAGATTGTTGCAGTGACAATCAAAATAGAATAAAGGTAGTTTTTTTTCGGGAGGGGGGGGGGGCGGGGGCCGGGGAGGGAGGGTTTTTCTTTTGGTAAGCACAGCCCTTATAATTTTATCGTTTAATCAAGAAGAGTATTGGATATTTCATTACAAACAGGCGAGTGTGATGAAGCAACGAAGGCGATGATGAACATGCCTCGATGTGGTTTCCCAGATTTCGATGACGATATGGACGCAAAGAGAAAGAAACGCTACTCTCTTCATCATACAAAATGGTCCAAGACGGAATTGACCTATCGCATCGACTCAGTGACATCTGATATACCCGACCCATCCCATGTGGCAAACACTTTAGCCAATGCCCTTCGAGTGAGTACTAGTGACGTTAAAAACAACACCTGATCTTGTGTGTGATAGGGAACGGGTACGGAAATAACGCATATGCTGTACGGTATGTCGCCCCAAAAAGGTTTCGTCTCAATATTTTTGTAATAGCTACAAAACCATGAAGTCAATTTTGAAATTGCTGATTGAGCAGATACTCCTTATCCTTGGCCTAAACCCCTATGAGTATCATTTTACTTGAGTCACACATACTGTGCAATGGTCATTGATCATAACAACATTTTTGGACACTGTCATCAAGTTCCTTGCCTTAATGCATTTCAGGTCTGTGTGTAAGCTGTGTAAAATTCTGCATGTTGTGAAAAAAAGGGTGATGTGGCTTAGGATTGGAATCATTTGCCCTTGAGCATTAAACTGAGGTCTTGCCTTGACAACTGATAGTTAGACAACATTCAGGATTTTACCCAGCTTACATAACACAGCACTGAAATTCATTAAGGCATGAACTTGTTATGGTAACAGTGTCCAAAAATGTTGTTTTGATCAATTGACAATTGTGTAGTGATGCGTGACTGAAATTAAATGTAACTCATAATAGGGGTTTAGACCAAGAATAAGTAGAATCTGCATAATCAAAACAATTTGAAATTGACTTTTGTAGTTATTTCAAAAATAGTGGGGCGGACACTTTTCGGGGGACATACTGTAGTATGTAGCGGCAATTGCCCAGTCTGAAGATCCGTCCGCAACTAAAGGAGGCAGAAAGGTTCAAATGAGGACCAAAAAATAACCCATCATAGCCAATACAACCCAAACTCCGGATCACATCCGACCTGGTACTTCTTAGAATGCCGAATGAAGTGAGCCCCGATGTTCATCGAAACCAAATGCAATATTTTCCTCAGTCTCTTACAATTTTGTATTCCATTTTGTCATTGTTGCCTTGAAGGTTTGGTCTGCAGTCACGACCCTGACATTTACCAATGATCCTTTGGACGAAGCTGCCGACCTCGTGATTAACTTCCATGGACAGGGCCATGATGTAGATGTGGAGTCCGATGGGCCAGGAGGGGTTCTGGCGTTCGCCTATTTGCCTGAGGATGGTACATCATTTTTCGATGACAATGAAACCTGGAGCATTAATAATTCTCCCCCAGGTAACCGATGCAATAGACAAAACTTTTTATAATGCAACACATCCTACTAGGCGGATGGACCCGACGAAAAGGGCTTTTATCAAGTTACATATGCTGTTTTGGATGCACCTACAGATACGCCCTTCGAAACTGATTCAACAAAAGTACCAACGTAATTAAGAGTTCTGTACTCTGTGTGTTCGAGCTGCATTCCGCTAGACTTGTACAAGAAATTTTATCGATTTTTGTTTTTACGATTCAATCAGTCCACTCAATGTATGAGCACTAAAGAATCGCGGATGTGAATAACCCACTGGTGATTGGTTTTCTGCTTGATTGTTTTGCTTTCTCAACCAGCAATTTCCTTTTTACAGTTCGGACTTTTAAAGAATGTTGTTGTTACTTTTAAAGTGAAAAAGAGCGAGTATACAGTACCTTCAAGGCAACGAGTGCAGTGTCTTTATTTGCAATTTTGAAACAGGAGTCGACCTGTTCCAGGTAGCAGTGCACGAGTTTGGCCATAGCCTGGGTCTGTTGCATAGTAACATCACGGATGCAGTGATGGCACCTTACTACCGTGGGTATGATCCAAACTTCAGTCTTCACGAAGATGACATCGCTGGCATTCAGGCTTTATACGGTCAGTTTAGAGGGACAAATGCAAATCAAGTAATTTTTCTATTTTTTTTCAGAGTACACCAAACGATAGCACTATATATCCCATTTAGAAAAAAAATGAGAACTTCTAGATATCCTTTCTGTACATCACGCATGTAATGGAAGTATAAAAGTCAACTGAACAACTGTTAATAGTTTCCAGTCTGTGATCCGACCAATGATTTTTTTTGTATACATGTATTTTCGATTACATAAATCAACAAAAAAAGTTTGGTGCATTATGAGCCTTTAACTGAAAATTTTAACTCCCGAAAGTTCATGTTTTGAATTGTTTACTTGATACTATATCAAAGGTCTGGTTGAAAGAAAATAAATCGAATGTCTCTCCGTGCCTTAGAAAAGAAAAAAAACGGTTGTGACAAACCAATACGTGTTTCAAATCGTGTCTATTCAATGCAGCGTACACGTTGTGTGTGTGGTACATAATACACACGTACATGTACATTACCAATACACAAATGTTGCTTCTTGCACGTCCGCAGAAAGACATTTCCAACAAATTAAACAACACTGGTATCCATGAATTGAATATAACGTTAGATTCTTATTTTCACAGGAGTTCCAAATACAACTGCAGAATTGAACAGCACTTCGGAACCAATTATCACCATAGACACAAGCCAGGAGCCAACCTCAAATGAGCCAACGACCACTCCTAGGCCAACAAGCACTTCACAATCATCAACCACAACAGGGTTCACAACCATATCTGAAACCACAACCACACCAGAACCAACATCCACACCGCAACCACCATCCACACCACAGATACCATCCACACAACAACCACCATCTACACAACCACAAACGACACCACAACCACCATCTACACAACAACTACCAACAACGCAACAACCACCTTCTACACAACCACTATCCACACAACCACCATCCACACAACCACCAACCACACCACCCGGACAAGGTAAGACGATTAGTTTAGTTCCGATCCAACTATATTGCTTCGTCCCTATTATATAGTTGGAATCGTCCAAACTACAGTCTTAATAGTCCCAATCAAGCTAGTACATGTATTGGAATACTGCGCTAGTTCCCCCTCGTATTCCTCGCTTTGGAAATCTCTCATTCCTACCTGCAACTTATATTTCTTTACGATTCAAGCCAAATTTATTAGAGATTCTTCTTTCACTACGACTTTTTTTCTGTTTGTGTTCTTTGTAATTTTTATAGTCCACACTTTTGAGTGGCCTAGATTTGCCTCATGATAGGGCTGCCTCCAACTTACGTTGGACTGTCTAAACTATAATGAGGGCCATTGTTATAGTCGGGTCGTCACATTTTTAAGATAAAGGACTAGCTGATGTGTATTCGTTTGGTTGCGTCTTAAACTCTTTCTGGGAGAGGTCACCGTTTTGTGTCTGCCACAGATTTTTTTACTTGAGCTGTTTTTTGTTTGTTTTTAATTGGGTATTTTAATCGTAAAATATCATTGATGACTGTGATTTATTTGACAGGAGTTTTGTTTCCATTCGGAGTCGAGGCGGGAGACACGTTTCTTCCACCCAATGACGACGGAAGTTCGGGAAGCATTTCTTTATCTTCAAGTTTTCCATTGTACAGTTACAACCATGATTCTCTCTTTGTAAGTACGGTAATATAATGAGTACTTTGTGTTTTCCTTTATTGGGAAACATTTTGAGCCAACAACTGAATTTGTTTGATCTATTTTGATCTCCAGGTGAACACAAATGGTGTGATTTCCTTCCTGGTCGAAGTCTCGGGGTTTACCCCGTTATCATTTCCGCTGGATGGTGACAGACGCTTGGTGGCGGTATTCTGGGGGGACGTGAATACCAACTCTGGGGGAAGCGTGTCTTACCGTGAACTTCATCCTACCGGCAACCAAGAGCTATTTGACCGTTCAAATACTATCATCAGACATGCAAGCGACCATTCTCAGTTTTCAGCATCGTGGATGTTTATCGCGACGTGGAACGAAGTACCTTTTTACGGAGCTAGTTCAGCATTTGAAATAGTAAGTAGATTTTCGTAGTGGCCTGAGTGTAACTAAAGACTTAATAAGGATAGGCCTACCTTCACGTCACAGGACAAAACGATATGATATACTCTTCCTTTACAGTTGATTCCGCATGCTCTTCAACAAAAGTCGATTTGATTTTTCTTGTTATTGATACATTTTCAACCGATTTGTTTATTCCAACCAAAAAAGACCTCCCTTTTCCCTTTTTTTTTGGAATCCTTTAAACTTTTTTGTAGATCATATAAACACAAGATAATATAACACTCTTTTGTTCTATAGACCAACACATTTCAGGCTGTGCTCGTGACCGATGGCAGCCTTTCCTTTGCCATTTACAACTATGAGGACATTCGCTGGACGACCGGCACAGCAAGCGGTGGAAGCTCCACTGGACTGGGCGGTACCCCAGCTCAGGTATAAAAGTCTTATAAAAGCGTATAATGACAATTTTGCACCTTATAACATTGCATCTATATTTGTCCAAGTGAACTTGATATCCTTGCTGAAGATTCATGCCTCTAGCTAAAAACGACTACTTCCTCGACCAAAGTTTAGAGAATATTCTTGTTGTTTTTTCCCCAACCATTCTTGTTTCATGCATGCAAAGGATACGTATTTTCTTTGTGATTACCAAAAACACTACCAACACAATGTTTCCTAATTATTTGTTGGGGGTATTTAACGTCAAGGGGCCCTTATACCTCCAGATTTTACCCTGTGTTTTTTTTTCTTTGGGGGTGCTCCAAGGACCGGGTGTACGGCATTGTGCCAAACAACCCCAGCTGAAAAGAACACGCATGGCTCGCAAAGTTATTACATGAGGACATGGGAACAAGTGTGCATTGATCGGAATGTGAACCTTATCTGTAATTGAGATAAATGTAATTCCATGTAGTTGATGAACTTTTCTGTTATTTTATTCCTTGTCCCGAGGCGCATTGATGTAATTGAGTCAATAGCGGGATTATTCTGAACATTAGTGTTTTGGGGTCTTCACAAAGAAAGGCCTGTATCATTTGCATGCACGGATTGATATCAGTGACATTTTGATCTGAATGTGGTGAATACCCAGATCGAATGTTGGCTGAAGAGAACACCTTGTAACTTTCCATTTTTGTGGGAGACGTACGAGAAATTGTCCAAAGGACATATCGAAAAGTTCTAATGTATGTCGAAAAGTTCGGCCCTCCAAGCCTTTTTTTATTCGAATTTTAGAACAAAGGATTGCATATTAATTTCAACTGACTTTTAATTGAATAATTTTAGGTTGGATTGAATAGTGGTGACGGCGTCAATTACTGCAGTCTTCCCGATTCCAGAACGGATGCGATCGTTGACGTTGACCTACAGACAAACATCGGCACAACAGGGCGCTTTCTGTTTCGTGTCGACAGTACTAGCGAAATCGATAACGGTTGCGACATATTGAATGGTATGTATTGTGTTAGATACATTGTTAAGAACGCAATGATTTTATCTTCAAATTAGTCAGTTCGTGTAACACACAAAAGATATGCAATGGAAAGAACTTACACATGTGCTTCTGAGTATTCGATATTAACTCCATCACTTAGGTACTTATGAAGCTGTAATTAAAAGTCCTCATCAATTTTACTAATCAACCATACAATGCAGTGGTTTGTTGATAACTGTAAATACCTCTGGCAAGGATTTTTTTTCATCGTCGTTGGTTGGTCGGTTAGTTTGTCTGTTAACAAAATAACTCAAAAAGTTATGGATGGATTTTCATGATCTTTTCTAGGGGTGGTCTTTAAGTACAAAATCAATTAGACTGAGGAAGTAATCCGCGGATTTGCGTCTGCATGCAGGATTATTTTAAGTATTCTTCACCATGCTGTATGTGCAAATGTGCTTTAGGTTTAGACTATGTGCAGAGACGTGTGTGGGTAACGCAGCGTGAAATCTATGAGCGCATATTGCACACACCATTGAAATCAACAGGTCAATGGACTAGACCATTTTTTACTAAGGGGGAGTGTGGAATGTGCAAATAAATATTGAAGTCCAGTGGATATGCGAGTATTTTATATCAGTTGTTCTGACAGTATGGCAGCCGTGGCTAGTTGTTATTGTAATCTTTAGTACTTTCATGTTTGTACTCTGTATTCATGAATGAAACTTGTTTTTCAATCACAGACCCTGACGATTGTGACCCCAACCCTTGTGAGAACGGTGGGATATGTGCTGATGGTTTTCGAATGTACACTTGCACATGCGTCAATGGATACACAAGTGCCAACTGCTCAATACCACCAGGTACTTGTAGCTGTGAGCTGAAAATTCTAATTGCTCTTGTTGATAATATTTTGGGGAGTTAAAGTGCAACTAATTGGAAAGACAGAGAGAGAGTAATGTTATAACAACATTTATATAGCAGCTCAGTTTGACGAAAGGCTTTTACATTTTCACGTCAAAACAGGCACGGATCTGGGGCGGGGTCAAACCCCCTTGGCTCTGTCAAAAATGTATTTCTGTCATAGAAATTCATTGAAATTAATGCACACCTCCCCCTTCTGCTCTGACACCCAAAACTGGTAATAATGTCCGCCTGTGCACAAAATACGGACAGAGCCAGCTTGGTTAGGGGGTATTTGTACACTGTTCTGCAATGTAGTGTTGATAATCGTCGGATTTGAACAGCACCTCCCCCCCCCCCATAACACAATATTTGATAAATACATCGTAATTATAACGTTCTCTCAGTATTAAACGTTTCGTTTATGTTAAACGTAACATTCAAGCCACCATGTACATTTTGCCTTAAAAGTCTAACATTCTTGGTGAGCACAATTCCTCAACAGTGGGTTCGGGAAAAGAAGACAAACAACTAGATATTATTATCCTGCTTCATTTTCCAATCCCATGTCACACTTTTGTACCCTTCAGTTTGGAAAAACACAGATTGCATAATTTCATTCGTAACATACATGTACTTCAATTCGGTCATATATACGATTTGAAAGTTTTGTCTGGTCAGGTGAATTTCTTGATCACTTTATGATATTACAGGCTTTTCGTCTCTATATATTAATGGAACCGAGGTAGTGATTAGTGTCTACTGGCTAGCTGAAACTGAATGCAGAATGTATTTCCATTTCTCATTTCAGTTATCGACGAATGCGATCCAGCTTCGCCGTCACATAACTGCGATGTGGATGCCATTTGTACTGACACTCGTTATAGTTTCATATGCACTTGCTCGGCTGGATATGCTGGGAACGGCACATTTTGTACAGGTGAGATGAATGGTTAATGGTTAAGTTTATTGTTGGTAGCAGCCATACCAACCCCCCCCCCCCCAAAAAAAAAATCCCCCCCCCAAACCCCAACAATTTATATTCAAAAATCGTAAGATGTGCACATAGATCTTGCCAACGATTTGGAGGCTTGCTTGCTACCTACTGCGCGGTGCGCTATGCCATTTTCTGCCTACTACAATGGCGGCGCTGACTTTCCGGTACCCAGATGTAGGCCGGCTTGTAAGAGAACCCTGGCTGCTTAAAAAGCCACATCCAATATTCGATGGAGCTTTGATGTGAAGTGAAAAATGAGAGAACTAATAGGTTTTCAGACCACTTTTCAGAGCACCATCATTGCAGTATTATTTCATGTTCTGGAACTCAAAGGCGGTTTATGCACAGTATATAGTAGTAACTTTTTCCAGATTTTAAAGACAAATCAGTTATGTTTTTTTTTTGCAGATGTACAGTCGCCAAACATCACATGTCCCACCGACCAGACAGTTTATACCAACTGTCGCAAGACCTATTCAACAGTGTCACTACCGGACGCAGATTTTGCTTCGGACAACTCGGGAGTATATTTCGTCTCCATTGAAGTGCATGGGTCTGCTTATCAGGCTTCCGACACTGTCAATCTCGATTTTTCGGCGTCACCTTATTTGCTGCGCTACACTGCTACTGACGAGGCAGCTAATTATGCAGAGTGTGACATGAACATCACAGTTGCTGATGAACCAGGTTCTCCACTTTTCTGTTCACATTATTTTAAAAATTGCAGAAATTATGGAGCATCGATAGACATGCAATAACTAATAAGGTGTAATAATAATAATAAGGTGTGCAATAATTATGAGTTTGTTGCAAAATTCAAACTGTGGAGATTATTTTTTTCATAGCAATAAAAGAACTTTGATGTCCCTTAAGTGAAGCAAAGGAGACCTATAATAATTAGATTATACCTTCTCTTTTTTTGCCGGTACCAGACAGTCCAGCCTATTGTTGTCTTTGTGCCTTATTGACTAACTTATTGACCCACTGTCTCTTTAGAGCCGGGCAGTCCTATTGTATAGGGGAGTCGGTTTGGCGTTGCGGCACTTTCCTCGCCTTCCACCGCTGTGACCCGGGTTCGATTCCTGCCTGGGACATTATGTGGATTGGGTTTTTGGTCCCTAATCGATTCCATGGGTTTTCCTCAGAATATTCTTCGGGGGTTTTCCTCTCACATCTGAAAGTGTAATTTCTTCACATTGTCTTCTCTATACTGGTTCCTATGGGCGACCAGTGGATTCAACCGAAGGGCTACCCAGCTAAAATAGGAATTAAATAAATAATGCCAATTACGGACGGGCTATCTGCGTACTTATATATATATATATACAATATTTAATTGCCAGTTTTAATATACAGGGTGAATAAGAACAAGGAAACCCAAATGGTGCCCCCAATTTTTTTTTTTTTAAGAAAATCGGCATGTAGCTAGTTCAAGATCTAGGATATGAAAACCCAATTAATAAGCATTCTATTAGAGAAAGAATAATTTTAATCACTCATTTACTTTTCCAGTTACAGAATCTCGAACACAAACACTGTGTTCTGAAGTCCATAACTGAAAAAAGCATATGAGCGATTTTAAAGCTCTGGAAAGTGCTACATGCAACACGTCTGTAAAAAAAAAAATACGGGGCACCTTTTGGGGTTTTCTATTTTTTTTTAGTCACCCTGTGTATTTGTTAAAGATATTGGACGTACTAGGCTTGCCTTGTCCTGATATGTGAAGGGGTTGGAGAGACGTACATGTGTTGCAATGGGCAACTCCATACATCCTGCCAGGATTGAAAAGGCTGTTGTTTCTGCTGTGATTAATTTTTTGCTCGATCGTGATTTTTGAAGTATCCAGGGTGGATGATTAGGCGAAGTAAAAAAAACAACATGTTTAGCGTCCCCGCCCGCTTCCTTTTTAGAGGCCGCCTCCTTTTTTTTTTTTTTTTTTTTTTTTTTTTAAAGACAAAAATTGATAAATTTTAACGATCTCTGACGAAAGAAATCATATTTTTAGACTTTTATACCGTGTATAAAGCTGTGGAAATAGTCAATGAGTCCAAGTGGCGGCCATTTTGAAAAAAGCTGGTAACCATCTTGAAAAATAGCCCGGCCGCGTTGTCTTGAAAAATGTGTCGGGCGGCCATTTTGAAAAAAAAAAAAAAAAAAAAAGGGCCTCCTCCTTCCTTTTTGTCAAAGAGGCAGGACGCTAAACATGTTTTTTTTTATTTTGCCTTAGATGTGTTAAGTGTGACTCTGTGTCACTTAAATTCTTGACCTAGACATTGATTCCATGTATACAATAAACGCAGCCACAAACAAGGACGTTCTGCAAGCAAAGCATGGGATAGGTTACGGATAAAATGCCTCAACGAATGGAGTTGTGTCTATAAAGCCTGTTTTGTTTCCAAAACACAGATGCTTCATTTTGTACAGCAACGGGCAACCCCACAAACTGCATATGTTTGCCCCAGCACACACCGTATTGCAATTGCTCGTCGGGGTACTGTGGACATGATTGTTCTCGTAAGTTGACACTTGAAAAAAATGATATTTTGAAAAAGGCAAACATGTGAAAGATAAGCAAATTTTAATCTTGATTAAAAGGCCACAAATTTGAGCCAGGGAGATCCCTGTGACGTCACCATTTTGTGGTATAAAAAGACATCATTTCAATATATTTTTGTATGTTTGCATCTTGCTTTAGTTCAACAACATTGTTTTTTGTTCTGTCTTTAATTCTTAGACTGAAGTAAAGTTTACATTGTTGCTTTAATGTGATATTTTTTTAATTGTTTGTCTACAAAATGGCGTCGCAACAGCGCCCTTTTGTGCTCAGAAACAGCTTTTTGTTGGCATTCCTTTTTTCATGATAATTTGATTTCAACTTTAAAATTTGCTACATAACTTTTTTGATAAAAGGAGTCAAAGTACATTTTCATGCACATTTGCTTATTTGATGTTTTGATTTTACAAATAAAGATTGCGTCAATTATGTTTTTAATGTGTAACGTAATGTGTCCACTTTGTTGAACAGAGTCAGCCGAGGGAGTTGAGTGCACTGGTCCAGCTGTGCCCTATCCTAATTGCACAGACATTGATGAGTGCGATCCAGGGCACTCGGGGCCACGCTGTGAAGCCGGTGAGTTTAGTGCTATTTTTAAAGGGAATGAATTATACACAGGACAGGAGCACATTTTGTAGCAAAACTACATTCCCCTGAAATGTATAAAAACTATGAGACATCCCCTTTTTTGGTAATTTTATTTTTGCAAAGAGCACTTGTTTTTAACATTCGAAATGTTTCGTGCTTTTCTTGACAACTTAGGGCGATGTTACGGTGATGTCACTTTGGGAACACACTGTTTAATTGTGGGTTTTCTCTTCAAATTATATACCCAATATTCTGCTTATTGAAAAACAATTGTGCATAGAGTATTAACTTTGTCTCACTAAAAGCATATGACCACAACAGTGAAGCGCACTAATGGATTTGAAGCCGACAAATTGAGGTTGGCAGTGTCGAAAGCCTAATAAGCAGATCCGTGCACATGAATGGAGCCTTGAACAAAGTCTCGAATGACATCACAGTTTGCTCATGAATATGGAATTGGCATTAGCATAAAATCAAAAATGCACCAAATACGCCTTAAAAAGCAGTTTGAAGATTTAAAATTAAGTTAAATTAAATGGAGCACAACGGTAATTTTCAATGATTGCATTAAAAAATCCATTGCATGGGCCCTCTATTTTGGTTATACGCAGACTGCATTGATGCATGCGGTCAATTTCTTACAACAGGTGGTCAGGAACATGTTTTTTGTCTTCAGTAAATGCTAATTGTTATTGAATTCAAACAGAGAGCACAGTTCAGTGTCCCGAGGTTGGTAACACGTGTCTTGACGAAGGGGTTTCATCAGTGTCAGTCGGTTGGACACTATCGGCAGACTTAGACCCAAGTTCGGATGATATCACTTGTAGAGACTTGACTGATGGAGCCACAGTGAATATTACAGGTGGAGTGTTTGGAATAGGGCCACACCACGTGGTTTGCTCGTCAAATGCTGGTGCCTTTGGAGATTGCCTCATTTCATTCGGTGTTTCGTGTAAGTAAATCTCCCTTGAGCATGTTATAATGATATAATTCGTACTTCGTAGTGATTGTCGAGCACTTGATTTTGATTTAGGATGAAAGAACCAGGGGTAGCTTTTACGTGGAGAAGGGGTGTGCCCGTGCAAACAGTTCAAAGCTGGTTTCCATTGGGGCCCTGCATACATAGCACATTATTGAATAATGTTAAGTAAAGTTAAACTCATAAGGACAATGCATTGGTAAAACATATACGATAATAATACGACGAACATAAAGTCTTCCATATACAAGTACACATGTATCACATAAATATCAAAGAAAACCGTCATACATTGTACATACACTCAACCAAAAACAAAAGTCTCCCTTCCAATACTTGTTTGTCTAACTCAAAAACTACTGAGCACCTCTCGCTCAAATAACGACTAATCAGTACAGAAATTCCTTAGCAATCCAGCCATACTCTTTATTTGGCCCAAAACAGTGATAATGTGTACGAATTTATGCAATTTATGACAATAACACCGACAACAGTTTTTTGAATACGTGGAAGTTGTGGTTCACACTCACTCACCTTGCACATATACAAAAGTTCAACTTTTTTCGGTACCATTTGTCATAAATTGCATAATTTTGTACACATTATCACTGTTTTGGGCCAACAAAGAGTATGGCTGGATTGCTAAGGAATTTTTGTACTGATCAGTCGTATTTTGAGCAAGATGTGCTCAGTAGTTTTTGAGTTAGACAAAAAAGTATTCAGGGGGGACTTTCTTTTCTTTTTTGGTTGAGTGTATTTTAAACATTCAACTATGAGGCATGAAGTACTGATTATGAGATGGGCGAAAACCTGTCACTGTGGAATATCTGACCGAAATCTTGCAGTGCTCAGAATATATTTCAGTTCAACCAAAATGTCAGCATATTTTTTTTATCCCCTAAATTGCATGTTTCAAAATTTAGTTTCTGGAGGTTGGCGAACTCCATTAGAAAATGCCCCATTGCAGACGCCATACATGTAAACACTAAAAATTCAATTCCATATTTTGTTTTAATTCACGAAATACTTATTGGATTGCTCACACAGCATACCCAAGACTCGCAGTACCAGCAGTGGGTGATCAGTGTACTGAACCAGACACGGACACAGCTACAGTGACATGGACCGAGGTTCATGCCACGGACGCTGGGGAAGTCACCATCGATTGCACAAATTATGGTGATGGCGTCGGTGTCGATCTTACAGGAGGTGTATTTGGAGTGGGAAACCATACCGTCACCTGTACTGTTACCAATGACCTAGGCTGTGTGACTTCAAAGAACTTCACCTTCACTCTCTATAGTAAGGACCAAAATAATCGGTTCTACTTTTCTCTGTGTTCAAATTTTGCACCTAATGTGATGCAATACCTTTACAGTATGTCTCAAATAAAATGCAACCAAAATATAACGGAATGCCAGACGTGGAATTTGTAACCAACATAAATAATATTGATATGGTTTGAAAGATACGCCTTTCTGCTTTGAAGCATATTTCCAAAGTCTTTAGAATTGTGTTTACTCGCTAAACACATTTTCTTGTAGGCCAGGCAGTTATCCACACAGAGCAATTATGCTACCTTTTGTCCCAATGCCTTATATTGAAAACTTAGTCCCATGGTGTCATTTGACCCCTCTTGGAAAATTAGTCATAACTCTGTCAAAAAGTACCAGATTTTAACGTTCGATGTCTCATTTTAAAGTGGAAAGTCGTATCTTTCAAACCATACCTATATTATTTATGTCGCGATTAAACATTCTACGTATGGCATATATTTTGTGTGCATTTTTTTGAGACGCACTTATATAGCACATTTCACATGGCGGAAGTTTTCATTTCATTTTTTTTTTAATATTAAATAAACGCATAGGCGTATTCATTACACATGTTTTTGTTGTAAATGTCTGTACTGCATAATTGCCAGAGTAACATGTTATTTTTTTAAAGACTTAACATTTACATTTGTAGTGTTTTCATTTATCACGTAAACAAAAAATATTAGGAGGTGAGGACCTATTAATAATTGACAATGGTTTGTTGATTACGTGTCAGTCGGCTCACGTCAATAGGCCGTTATGATCCCCCGTACATAAATCCTTCCTAAGGGTTAGCAATTCACAACCGGTACTAGCCCTCTTTACCCCTATCCCGATTTGTATAATACTTTTTACCGGGGGAAAAGGCTTGGTTTCAGGAAATAAAAATTCTCATATCACTTCAAGGATCCCAAATAAAAAAGCATTGAAAAGTTTCACTAGACTCTTTGCTGCATGTAGCTGGGTGCTTATGCAAAAGAGCTCTTGCGAGTAAGTCACATATGCATCTTCCATTGAAGAACGATGTTTGGTATACGTGACGTATGTACAGATTCTAATTTCAATATGCCTGAATGTAAATACATTCAAACTTTACTTAGAAGATGGTGCTCAACCACTTGTATGTTTTTTTCCATAGAGAATCATCTGTTCACGTTTGGTGCCGAGGTTGGTGACTTCCTCCTGTCAAATGTACCCCAGCAGGTAGGTCAAATTTACTTTGTTTTACTTCTTTTCCTCGCTAAATGCAAAAAGAGTGAAAAATCAGTTGTCCACCGTATGGCTTTATAACAGGTGGAAGTTTTACTTTACTTAGAGTGATTTTTAATGATGGGCAATAGTGAAAACTAAGATAAAAACTTTACTTAAAAAGAGAGAAACGTCCATTCTTTTAAATAGCGATATGTTGGACAACTCCTGTCGAGTTGTTTCTCATCCTGTTACGTTTAGAGAGTTGTGGTGCAGTAACAAAAAGATTAATCTCGAAAAAAAAGATGATGACTTTGTTTGAATGAGTTCAGCTTGAGAAGATAATAAGCCAATGTGAGTAGGAAGATGGCTTGCCCGAAGTCTCATATATATTCATATGCTTATAATCATGATGTATAGGAAATTTGGTCCAGTCAGTAAAGACTCGTCTTCAATAATAAATCACCAAGGGAAACCGACTAGTTGCATTATAATTCAAAATTCAACAACGGAGTTCATTACAGCGGGCTTTGAGTGATCCCCATTTGCCATTTCAAAGGTTTGCAGCATTGTAATGGCAGCTATAGCGCCCCTTAAAGACAAAATGAAGAACCGCAAACATAGACGGGCTGGATGACTCAGTTGGTAGAGAACTGGAACGACAATCCGGAGATCGCAGGTTCTAACCCAACGCCGATAAATTTCTTTATGAAGAAAAATAATTGTTCAAAAGCAGAGTACTCGAAAGAAAGATAATTTCAAAAGCAGACTATCTTTTTGTCATTTGATGTCAATGTATGTTATTTTTCCATTCCAACCACATTAACTCTTTTTCTTTACGTTTGCCTTGCAGCCACTATTGCCAAATAAAGACCTGATATCACCCACGATATTCCCACCAAATTTCTTTCCCTTCTGCGATGAACTTTATGAAAAACTGTATGTAAGTATCCTACAAAGCAGTTTTTTGTATCTATTTATAAATTGGTTTTATGTTGATCTTGGTCGTTGCTTTGAATGAATATTGCACAGAATGGTGTAAAAAAATTCAATGTATAGCATTGTAATTTGCTGTTCTTTTTGCCATGTTGTCACACGTTCTTCTGGGTACCAGACGCATCATTCCTAGCGAGTTATGAATTGTGAGAAACATGATTCAGAGCCAGTCCCTCGGATCATGATACACGGCTGGACATGTGAAGGGGTACAGACCATAAATGAAATCACCTAGACACCAATGATAGATGTCACTTCAAAAAATTGACGAAATACTCACAACTCTAACAAGTGTTCAAGATATCTATCAAAATGTATCTGAATTCACCCTCTTTCACTTTCTGTGTAATTTGTTGAGGTTACCTTGATACGTTTTAGACATTTTTTCCTTCAAAGATCAACCCTCCAAGTAGTCTAGAAGTCCCATGCAGTCGCCATTCGAAAAAAAATGCCCCTCCATGCCGGTGCAAAATAGAGCGACTTTCAGATCCAATTTCATCCCTTATTACTCAGACATACATGTTCAAAGACCGATCCAGAAGTCGATCCAGATACGTCATTGCTACAAACTGTCAAGTGTAGGGGCCGCACAACTCTCTACAACAAGAACATTGTAATTTGGCTGACGTAGGCAACTTTAAGCCAACCATAATATGGTTGACCATTGAAATAAAATTACTGACTCTTATCCTGTGCATTTGCAGTTCACTGACAATGGCGTGATTGTTCTCTCAAATGATCAACCTCTCGACAAATTCGCCTTTTCGAGTACTACAAGTCCTGTCTTCAGCGGCAACGAGGCAATGATAACGCCATTTTGGGCCGATGTTAAAGGCGATGCCTTTACCCCGACCAGTAACGTTTTCTGGCAGGTAATTTTTGTCTACTTTGTCCTATACGGTCTGCTTTCCTTCATTACTGTAGCGACAGCGCTTGCATGCCGGGCAGGTGACGGGGCCTGGACCTCCGAGGTATGAGAAATGAATCTCCGGTAAGGGATGGACTGGATCTACACAAGATGTTACACGCACTGTGCATTTCTCCAAAGCCTTATTACTCTAGGTAGTAATCATGCAATCAAACGAACAAACAATCAAATAAACACGTTCGTTCGTCGTTGGATAAACACCATATAAATCAATACAAAACCAAAGTCTTAATTAATTACATTATTGTATCATACAATAATATGAAACCGTCATTACCTGGAAAAATGCGCGCGAGCACCACGCGGAAGCAAGTAAGCACACGAGCGTTGAGCGAGCGCGCGATTATCGAGCACGCATGAGATTGTTAAGCGAGCACCCTCGCAATCATTGGGGAAGGTTTATTTTGAGCAGCACTGTACTGTGTGCACAGGCGCAGGCAGCAAGCAGGCAGCAAGCAGGCAGCAAGCACACAGCACGTTACGTATAATCACTGCATGCCAAAAAGTCACACGCAATATATATTAGCGTGAAAAAAACGCAAATTAATGTCGCAAGGACATATAAAATACACTGAAATCCTACTCACCCAGACACAATGGGCTGGGCAGGAGTTTTTATTGGTTCAAGTTAACCCTGGGTCTCCAAGCTCAGATTTTAATGTAATTTGCTGCCAGAACGTGTATCTTACAGCTTCAGTCATCATGGGAAAAAAGGACAAGCTCCCGCTAAACCAAATAACAGGGTAGGCTAGTTTGCATATCCGTGCGCGGTAAAATACGCAAATAATTCGTAGAAGTTACCTTAATTAAACCTGTCATGGAATCAATATCAAGAACATATTCAGGACAATTTATAAAACAATACCAAATAGGTATCCTGACTCAAATGTGTATAAACTAGTATTACTTGAAAAAGTGGTTAAGGAACTACTTTCCCTACAGGCTCGGGAACACTATGAAGTATACAGTATACAAACTACTCGTTGCTACCGAACAAAGTGAAGGCGAAATGAACTGTTGAACGTATGGGTTATAAGGGCCAGTTGCCCACATTTCTTTTTGCTTGAGTACTTGCAATTATACTTCAGTCTGACTATAAAAAAAAAAAACGAAAAAAAGAGTTGTATACACTGTCTTCAAAACACGAATGCTTAGGTCCCGTTAAAGGAAACTATTCGTGACATATGATGCGATCAAGCTAAATGAGTTGTTTGTCTGGAACTTTCATTTGGAGATTCAGGCCAAAATCTAGGGCCACTTCATCACATCACTTGATCACATCCCTTGGTGTTCCGACATGTCTTTGCGCACACGTTTGCCCATGTAGGTGTATGTGTTGCGCCCAACTAAAGCAGGTACAATTCGAAAACTGGTCACCACACTGCAAATATTGTGGTGTGAATTGGACACAAGTTCTGGAGCTATATACGATCACTGGTATAAAAGCTGTATACCGGTAGTCTTATTAAAGATACCACCTTCTTAAATTGAACACCACTGTTTTCTTTTGGTAGTCTACCTGTCTGTTAATAGTATGGAGTTTGTTAATTTTGCAATAAAAGGAACATAGATAAATATTTGAAGATATAGCCATAAGCTTGCACGACCGATTCGTAACAAAGTTAAAGAAAATGAAAATAAATAAAGGCATATCTGTGTATTTGTTGTTTGCAATGGTTATTTCCAAAAATTCCAAATAGTATCAACTTTCAATTTTGTATTGATTGAGAACTCTACTTTTGTGGCCTTTTGTATTTCGACAGGTGTATGATCAGTACGACGAAAATGTCAGCCAGGACAAGTTGGACACCATCAGCGCTGCTGTGTCGACCAAATTTGGCACATTTTCAGCAAACTGGGCACTCGTAGTCACCTGGAGTAACGTTAAATTAGCGTCTACGTTATCGGATGTAAGTATCAAATTTGACTTAAACACAAGAATAAACAATCATAAAAAATAATATGTTAGTGTTGAAATAACAAGCCCTCGTTATTTACTAATTTATATGTTTCGGGATAAGGTCAGTACTGAGCATTTTGTAGCGGTTTTATTAATTTCCGAAATTTACTTGAATTAACAATGTTTCGAAAATAACTGTTGGGTTCTCTGGAGCTTATGGAGCGGCAGGCGCGGTTCTACGGGGGGGGGGGCTAGGGGGGGCTGTAGCCCCCCCAAAATTTTGTCTAGCCCCCCCCAAAATAAATTCCGTAAAAAAAAAAATTGCATTAGCAAAAAGAAGGATTGTGATGTACATGCGAACGGTCTCCCCCTAAAGAAGAAATAGCCGTGACAAGGGTGCATTAGTTAATATATTGTGAATGATTTTAGGATTTTATTGGCGCTCCCCATTGAAAATATGACATGAGCCCCCCCCCCCCCCCTGTCTGGAAAAAATAACCGGTCAACATTTCAGCATGCCTCCCTGAAAAAAATTCTGAATCCACCGTGCTAGCCCCCCCCAAAATATTGGTTCTAGAACCACGCCTGTGGAGCGGCGCCATAATTGTCTCACTGTGTAGCGACAAGAGTATTGGGTTTATGGTTGGGATTTCCGTATAGGTTAACACAAAAAGTGAATCTTTGTTTGTGCTGCGGTAGGAGGTGCAGTTATGGTCTGGTATCCAGTATATAATCAGACATGGACAATGACAGCACCTTGCTGATGTGGCCTCGGGAATGGACAAATCGATTTTTAAAATGAAATCAAGTACTTGGATGACTGTGTTTTTCTTAATACGAAAAAAACAAACATATAGCATTCCGAGCCCTCACGTGGAAAGATTCTAATAATGCTATATCCAATCTTACTGAAATCGGTATCACACTAGGCCAGACATCGATCTAAAAACACCCACAACTTGAAACGGGAATATAGTAGGCCTACATACGTTCCTGCTTAATAAGTACACATGCAGAGTTTGACCTGAGCGATCATTGTTAGTCCACGCTTCGATCCGTGGATTCCCGCCTTTTCCTATATGCGGAGAAAACAAAACCGAATATAACATTCCAATCCCCCGTCTGGAAAGTTTGTCACAACGCTATATCAAATCTAAATGAAATCGGTGTCACACCTTCGCCTTACATCAATCTGAGAAAAAAAAGTTACACAGCGATAATATCGATAATGTTTACGGTAAGGAGCAGATTCTACCGGGACCGTTTTAGTAAAGGTATTAGGATATCCAAAAGGATCTCTAAGGTTATTTGCCAACGTCGACTCACCTCTTATGGCTGATTCCTACGCCTCTCCGATGATGGAGGGCCTGTAGCGTGGTATAGTCCGACGGCGGTGCATCGCGACTTGGTCGGAGCCGTGCGTTCCGTCGAACCACAGTTCGGATTTTTTCCACCGAATCACGCTCACGAAGACTAACAGTTCAAGCTGACGAAGACGAAATGGACGAAGATACTTACTAACAACGATGTTATACAGTTATTATACAGTAGAACACGATAAAACAGATGAAAACTTGATGAAATTGATGTACTAACTTTACTGAATGCAACGACAACAAAGATGGCGATATTTACATGCATGTGCGTTTGTTTGTGCAGCGACATGTGTCTCCAAAGTGTCACGCAGGTATGGTCAGCCAAACGGACAAAAGTGTTTTAATTACGTGTCGCTACAAACTGAAATATCCTCACCAATCCCTGCAGGAGAAATCACAGGCATATTCCAGCTGAAACCACATTAATTGGAAGTATACTTTTTTACTTGTGTGTTCATTTTAGGAGACAAACACATTCCAAACTGTGCTGGCAACGGATGGAATCCATGGCTTTGTGATATTCAATTACGATCCCTGCGGCACCAACTGGGACTTCAGTTTGTTACTGAACAAGAATGTCATCCAGGGCTTTACCTGCAGAGGGACCTTTAATCAGTCTGTCTACGTGGACATACCAGGTGAATCGCTATACCGCCCTGGTAACATCGAAGGCAACGCGGGTCAGACAGGACGTTGGGTGTTTCGCCTCAACGCACCAAGCCCGAGCTTCGTTAATCCACGTCTGGAGTGCCGCGATTGGTACCATCGCCAGTCACCTTACCCTTTGTTTGATAACTATTTCCCTAATTTCCAGGACGTTTGCCCTTGCAGCCTGGTGAGTGCCTCGTTTGACTGGCGATTCATAGAGGTTCCAGCCTACAATGTACCTCGGGAACTACAATTTGACTCGGCATTCCGTAAGTAGCTGCTCTTCCAAATGTCATGGACAAAATTGTACCATTGCTTCAATGTTTATTAATTGGAGTGGTCGTATTTAATATTGAAATTGAAATTACATATTCCATTCGAAACGTATAAAAGCTAGGTGTAGGCAATCGCCAAATTGATTTTTCGCGATAGGGAAGGCATTGAAAAGGAAAGCATGTGATTGTGCTTATGTATTTTTATCGATTCCACCTGATTCAGGCCAATTATCTACAGAGAAATAAAGGCGTTGGATACTTGGCTGGCGCCGTTAATTAAAGTTATTTTTTGTCTCCGATTAGCTGATAAATGCGTCATATCGGCCGCGCCGGCTATATTTAGTGAACGGTATTTGCTAAAGGAATCAAAGACAACCTCTGACCAAATAACGTTTACTATTAAAAAGAAAGCCGACGCGGCAGATATGACTTAATTACCAAAGTCATTTAGAGAAAGGCTCCGTAAAAATAGCGTTTACTAAAAGAAAGCTAGGGCCGGTAAAATATCCACTGGGGAATAAATAGTTTCAACCTTTTATTAAACATAATGCATACTTTTATTTGGAAAACATGTAGTTTAGGAGACCTTAATTGCTTCTGACTTATTCCTTTAAAAATATGACTTTTGCAAAGAACTCCATTCCGAAATGACTGCTTTTACAACGCTTTTATCTCTATGCTATTATATTCACAAAGGTATTCTTTGACTCATTTCAGCTGTTGTTTGTTTCGTGCGTCTGTTCCAAGTGCCTGGAACTCCAGGTCCTCGGTGTTGCTACAATACCTTTACCTGCGATCTCCTGTACGATGTAAGGAGCCCAAGAATCGCTTCAGTCTTCGAGCGCTTCCCACTCAGCCCAGCGTTCTACACAGAGGACTTGTACCAACAGTGGCTAGGTATGCGAATCATGCACACTGTACATTTCTCTTTTTTTCAAATAGCTAAACCTGTCTTCTTCTTTTTACCGAGTTGTACCTGGACCATTTTGCCTTTTGTCCTTTGTAATTGAAATAATACGTGTGCTCTGTAAAATAAAATGGAAAAAGAGACATAGCTAGCCACCGAATCCATTGCGATACTCAAACGATTGTGCAAACGTTTTCTCTGTTTTCTGAGAATGTCTGAGAATGAAAAGAATCCACTGAGCTCAAACTTTAACAGGCTAGTTGTTATGCAGCGTGCAATAGACCTTTATCAAGCCGCCACCTTTTCAGTCATGTTCTTTGTATCCAATAACAGTACTGAATGATAATTGTTTGTGCAAGGAAGCAGACTATTTGTCCTTCCAGCCTCGCTTTGGTTTTATTGATTTGAATGGGAACAAATCAAATGGCTGCAACATGACAATAATATATTCTGTTGCTTCAAACGCAGTCTCAAACGTAGTCCCCATCCCTTTAGACATCCTACAACTATATCTACCCAAAATTAAAAAGATCCCGACTATTTTTGCTATTGCTCTTGCAAATATGCATATCACCTTGTTTGAACCTTGACCGCTGTTTATTACATGACATATGGAAACCTTTTTCGTTTCCATATTAGTTCCAAGTTGCACCGCAGAACATCTGGCCAGAAAGCAAGTAATGCCCTTTGCTGAGCTAACCATCGTTTCACTAAAGAAAAAAAAAAGCAAAATTGCTTTCAAGAACTTTGTCACTGCTAAGTTACTTCGCTAGGACGACATTTTCGACGCAAACAGAATCATTGCCTTATTTTTCTTTTCTGTGGAGAGACAAGGAATGGCATAGGGTGCGAAAGGCAATCCGAAACCAGCCACGAACTATATCTAGCTAAAAAGTAGCTGGCACTTTACTTTCCAAATGCCAACCGCCATATAGACCCGAGAAGAGGGTTATAAGGCTAGGTATAGAAAAACTTCGATGTTCATAAATTAATTGAAAAACAATACATGTAATTACTTTTTTTTCAGATGAGGAGGCGTGGGCTCGCTTTTACTGCTGTGATCGATCAACTCTTTGCCATCTGTACAAAGAGTGGCGCCCTCTCATGACATGCCAATCGTACATCCCTCTCTCCTGGGGTAATATTGTTGTTTCAAATCAAAACAAGTTTAAATAGGGACCTTCTTATATCTTACCGTGTACGTTCTGCTCTTATGAACTATGCACAATCAATAATTATATTTTGTAGTTGCTGCAACAAGTAGCAGTTACTGATTTGTCCCTTGGGTTAAAATTTTCATGGCTCAATTTTTGATGACTCAAAATCAGTGGCGTAACTAAAAGGGGGGAGGGCACGTGTGCATGTGCCCATATGCTGGAGGCCTTTACAAGCCCCCTCAAGTATTGTGCCTGTATGCTCAGGGTATTGGTGAGGGCATGATTGTTATTATTGTTCAAAACCCATGGAGTTCCCTTTACAGACAATTTGAATTGTGAAACAAAATGAATATGAAAAATTATTTTCATCTGCGGGTAAAGCTGCACATTGTGGGTTCAAGTGCAGCCTGTCGTCATGGTGCGTGTGCCCTTGGGCAAGCCACTTTGTCACTCGTTTCTTCTCTCCACCCAGGAGTAAATATGTACCTGTGAGGGCAGAGATTGTTATTATTGAATTAGCTTTCTTGCGCCTAACAGGCAGCATCGAGCTGTATACTCCCCAGGTTGACATGGTATTTAGAATGTTTCATGGGCACAATGATCATGGGTAATAATGCCATAGCATCTTGAGCACCAGTCCTGGTTGTTATTACAATTATTATTATTATTCATAAAGTAATTATAGCTATACCTATACGTCTTCCTACTTTAAATTGATGTAAAAGATTTCTAAAAACCCGAAATTAAAAGAAAAATAACAAACCATTAAAACAAATTCTACATTCAGCTGGTCTACATTATATCTGTAGTTTTATTATATCTTGAAATTGTTTACTCATTACAACTAGTGTGGGGCTGGGGAGACCCCCATATCGCAACAATTGACGGGCTGCAGTACACCTTCAATGGTCTGGGAGAATATACACTGGTACTCATCGAGGATGATGATGGACAACGAGTCTTTGAACTGCAAGGTCGCACACGACAGGCCGTGGATACAGAGACAGGACAACTTAGCCAGGCCACTGTCTACTCTGGTTTCGCTGCAGTGTACACGGGAGAAGCAAGGGTCTGTATAAACATTTATTTTTAAAAAAAGGGGGAAAAACAGTCTTGGAGTGCTTCTCGTGAGCAATACATAATAATAATAATAATAACTGGATTTATAGAGCGCCAAATTGCCAAAGGATACAAGGCGCTGAAACAAAGAAAGAAGAACTACAGAAAGAACAACAGAAAAACAACAAGGGCGTACGACCAGCTATGGTGTGGGGAAAAATGGGTTTTGAGAGCCTTCTTGAAGGTTGGCACAGTATAGGAGTTTCTGATAGGGATGGGTAGACTATTCCACAATCGGGGAGCAGCAATAGAGAAGGCCCGATCACCCGCGAGTTTATTTGTCCTCTGGACAACAAGAGATTTCCCATGAGAAGAGCGAAGGGAGTGAGACCCGGTTCGAATTGAGAGAAGAGAAGAGAGGTAATCAGGGGCAGAGGAGTTGAGAGATTTGTAAGTGTGGACCATAGTACGGAATTGAATGCGTTGTGCAACTGGAAGCCAGTGTAACTGGTTAAGAAGGGGAGATGTATGTGTGTAAATGGGCATCTGGAAAATGAGCCTAGCACATCTGTTTTGAAGCCGTTGAAGACGAGAAAGATCTTTCTTTGAGATACCGTTAAGTAAGCAGCAGCCGTAGTCTAATTTCGAGAGAAATAAGAAGCGGACTGCATTATGGCAGGCATTAAAGTCAAGGAACTTCCTGATCCGACTGAGGTTACGGATATGCCAGTTTAAGGATCGGCAGAGTTGAGTGATGTGGTCCGACATCTTCATGTATCGGTCGAAAACAACTCCTAAGTTTCTGACTGACAAGGAAGGATGAATTACACGGCCGTTGAGATCGAAGGTGATCTTTTAATATTGACTTCGTGTTTTGACTTCGCCGGAGTTATCTTATTATCAGGTTTAACTCAATACTGTCCGAGATTTTGCAACTATAATACTCACACGTGTTTGGGCCTTTCCTTTCAAAACTCGGATGACACTGAGTAAATATGTGCTTATAAAATTACATCGTTGAATTTTCAAATGTTTTATCTTTCCAATGCAAAATGCCATTGTATGAAAGCATCTGTTTTTCATTCACATTTTGCTCTGGGCATGCCTTAAGAGGGCTAATCCTTTGATTTTAAGATGGTCGAGAATTGATACGTTAGGTGGCTATGAAAAGGTGGTAATAGTTTAGATCAAAATAATTATTGTGACACTCCAGCCTAATTTGATAATGTTTTGATGGTGTGTCATTGCGTTAGTTTTGTTTGTCATTCAATACAGGTTGAAGTCAAATTGAGTAACGATACCATGGATTTACTGACTACTGTCAGTGGTACCATTGTCACACCTACAGCTGAAGGTAAGACGGATCGCTAATTCTCCTGCATCAGTTGCAAGTTCAGAGAATGTGCATTATCACATGGTAATCCGTCGTAATATTCTACAGGTTGGGCAGTCACATTGTCGAATACAGGTTGTAAACAGAGTGTGCAGCAATATTGTAGTTTTCGGGATTTGTATCCTTTAATAATGAGCCAATACGGTTTTCTTTTTCTCTCTGTAAGGATTGCTGTTTAACAGTCTTCGTCTAACGAGGTCGGATAATCCCATCGAAGTGAGCGTCATATACGCGGAATATGTCACCTTTACTGTTAGGGTTAACAACAGCATGGCCGACATAACCATCCTCTTCAACCAGGACTTCAGAGGCAGAACTAAGGGACTTCTAGGTGGGTCTTCTTTTTCGCACAAATTTATCTTTTCTAGCTTTTCAGGATGAATTCGCTTGTGCCCTTTTCAGATTGTCAAATTGCATCACCGATGTGCAGAATTGGATGATAACAAACAAACTCAAGTTAAATGAGGATAAAACTGAATTTTTCATTGCCGCATCTTCTCATCATCATCAGAAACACTTAACCGACATAACTCTACAGATAGGTAACACAACAATCAAACCGTCTCAGACAGTCCGAAACTTGGGTGTTGTTTTCGACAGTTCCATGACAATGAGCAAACATATGCAAATCTATCAACTACCACAACAGGAACATATCCAAGATTCGTAAATACATAGACACAAACACATGCCACGCCGCTGTCCGAGCACTTGTACTATCCAGAATCGATTATTGCAACTCTCTTCTCAATGGTATTAATCAGTATGAGGTTGATCGACTCCAACGGCTTCAAAACAATGCCGCTCGTATCACATTATCTCAACCCAAATACACACATGCCTCTCCACTCCTTCAACAATTACATTGGTTACCAGTTAGACAACGCATCAACTTCAAAACAGCAGTTTTCATGCACAAAGCACTTCATAACACAATGCCGCAGTACATAATGGGATCACTCAACCTTAATGCACCCAGCCGTAGTGGCCTCCGCTCCAGTAACAACCTTAGAGTTCCACGCACATTCAAAAAGGCAGGGGACAGGGACTTCTCAGTGTCTGGTCCCCGATGCTGGAATTCCTTGTCACACAACATCCGCAACATCAGTTCTCTTGACAACTTTAAGGGTAGATTGAAAACTGATCTGTTCTCTCCACATAATCTGTAACTTGTCTTCTGGTTTTGTCCTTAGTCGCGCATTGATACTTGCGAAAATGCGCGCTATAAATCGTGTTATTATTATTATTATTGTCTAATGTTTACTACGTTATTGTAACAATACAGACTTGACACCCTTAGGGGGCATTCCCATAGACACGTGCATACAGGTTCCTCACTTTAATGACCCCTAACCCTAATGGACCGATCAAGTAAGCCCCGCCCACCGCTCACGTGGGCAATAGACCGCTTGCAGACGCGTTCGATACTTGACGCGCGAAGGTGCGCGACGCCATGTTATGGGACAAAATGTGCATAGATAGATATACGCTTGTCCCACAACATGGCGTCGCGCGCCTTTGCGCGTCGATTATCGAACGCATCTGCAAGCGGTCTATTAGCACCTGCTTCTCTCCAATGCCACACTGCAGTTTCAAGCCACGCGCGTAACACGCACGTGCAAGCATGTCGGACGTTTGTGCACGCAGGTCGGACATCAGTTATGGCTGTGATTGGTCAGGAAACCTTGGGGCGGGACTTACGGGATCGCTTAATTTTAACTTAACATACCCTCAACAAACTTTCTAAATTTTGGTTTTACATCACGAGGAACCGACTAAGGCGAAAATAAATGATGCCTGTAGAAATAGGACATTCGAATGTGTCCCTAATCTGCCTTGCTGTCCTAAGGTGCTTGTGTAATGTCTCTCCAATGTACATTTACATGAAAATGTTATTTTATAATCTAAATTATCAATGAAAGTAGATGAGACTCTGTAGGTATTTTCAAATTTATATTAATAATAATTATAATTTGGGAGGCTAATCATCCTTACTCGCAGCTGGTATGCTGAATTGCGAAGGACGCGGCTACAACGTGGTCGGGCCGCTGGCACGTGAAGGCGCCTATGACTGCCGGCCACATCGACCCATATAATTATGACCACGGAGCACAGCCTGAGATCGAAAGTGTTTGATTTTTCCGGAGGGAGGAAAACCGGAGGGCCCGGAGAAAAATCTTCGTGGCACAGGAGAGAACCAATGCACACCTCTACTCACATGCGATCCGCGGCCAGGATTCGAACTGTGGTCACCTTGGTGAGAGGCGAGCGCTTTACGCACAAGCCACCCATGCCACCAAGTTGTAACAAGTTTTCAATTAGGAAGCACATGTAGCTTAATTATTGTTATTTTTTACTGATGTGTGAACCTTTAGGTGTATGGGACGACGACCCAAGCAATGACACTTTGAGGCGTGATGGCACATTGCAATCAGCCTCTGGTGACAATGGAGAGTTGCTGGAGAGGGATTTCTTCGCATTTGGTGAAACGTGTAAGAAATTATTCACAATTTTTGTTTTTCTTTATTGCCAAAAAGTGAAAGTGTCCATGCAAGTAAAAATAAACCCAACCGACTGACGTTTGGGACATGCAGGAGCTTTAGAATGAAATAGAACTTTTGTCGGAAAAAAACCCAACGATTCAAAGTATTTTAATCCAATATTTGAATAATTTCCACACACCTTTTCACCTTTGGTGGTCGTTATAATTGCAAAGTTTGTTTAATTATAATGTCAGTATTCAGCGTCACAATTCATAGAACCTGTAAGAAAACAAACTTTGAATCTCAGCTGTGATAAGTCTAAGAGAGGGGTCATTATAATCTGATCTGTTTCAGGGAAGATTAGCGAAGAGGACTCCCTGTTCTTCTACCAACTTCTTGATGAAAGCTACGACTCACTGAACGACCCCAACTTCAATCCAGACTTTCTGCAAGATTTGCTTGACAGATCCCCGCAGGACAAAATCGACGAGGCCAAAGCAGTCTGCGGGCCCAGCAAAGCGTGTCTTTATGATTCCTTGGCTCTGAATGATACAAGCATCGGTATGGCTACATTGCTAATCAATGAGATGAACACGCTTAACATGGAATTGTCAAGTAAGTAAAACGTCAGCCTTCATGACTTATTTCCTTGGAATACTGTGTCATAATATTACAATGTAAAAGTTAACAGCAGATGTTGTTTTTACATTTTTTTCAGACTTCTGACTGTTAATTCGCCAGGCGTATTTGTGATTTTCAGGGGCACTTTTGCATTATTAGAGAGGAGACAATGATCATAATGCTTTCTTGTGTGCGTTTGAGGGGTAGTTTTGTTTTCATCTCTGGGGGCACATTTACGACCGCCTAAGGGGCAGTTTTGTTGGTCTATAAAAATGGGGGGGGGGGGGTTCCGCCACTCCTGTGTAAAAGTGCCCCCTCTTGTTATAACTTAAAACCTTTATGTATGAAATCTGCTTACAGCCAACTTCCCGCCGAATCTGCTGCTAGTGGAGACTATTGAGGTGGTTGTAGGGCAGAACTTCACCTTGCAATTAGAAGCAGCTGATCCTGATGGAGATAATATCACATACCACCTGCTTCAGACAGTAGAAGGGGCGTCAATTTCATCTAATGGTTAGTAAAATGCAATATCATCCAATTGTGTCTTAATAAGTCTGTGCGGTGAATCTTTGTGTTTTTTAAATTTCATTTAGATGAAATTTTTAATTGACGACTGTAAACTCCGTCAGATATTACAGTGCCATTTACTGGCAAATGCTTGAACTATCATTTGTCACGTTTACCTGAGTTGTGATGACCATGTTTTCCACCCATCTTAATTGCACGGTTTTGTAACATGGAGCCCACACATAATTGGAATTAGTAATATGTTACATGCATGATCGACTTGCAGTGGATAAAATATGAAATCGAAATGAAAGAAATGACATCAATGACGTGTCTGTTCCATTGTCAAAGCATTGACGATTTTATACAAATTAACTTGTATCACCCCAAAAAAAACGAGTTTGAGGATTATTCCATCTGACCCCATTCCTTGATTCAAATCTACAAATAGTTTAATTATTTTTTTTGGCAAAAGCTTGACCTCGTCTTCAAAGGTGGCTCCAAATCACGACGTGTTGAAGTCTTTGATGTATTATACCTTTTTTTGTCTTCGTCCCTGTTCACTTTTGTACACAGGCGGTTTTTTCACATGGACTCCTACAAACAGGTCCAAGGTCTCGATTGGTTTCCTAGCCACAGACGGTAGAGCCAATGCAACGCTTGAACCCATTGTGAAGCTTTGTGATTGTGAGAATGATGGCACATGTCTGTTTGATCAGTTCGTCAGTGGAACCAACCTTGTGCAGGATCGCTTCGGGGTAAGTTCTCATGTACAAAACATCTTCAACCAGTTGTCGATAATTTTATACATCTGCCTGATGATTCTTGTTGAAGAACCTTTGACGGTAAACTGAATTGTGCTAAAGGTCCAAGCCTGCTAGCCATCATTGGCAAGCTGTTGCAATTGGTAGCCGTTAATAGCAAGCTGCTTTGCAACTGATAGTCATGGTAAGCTGCTTGCATTTGTTACATCTTAATGGCAAACTGTTGCACTTAAGCGCTCAATGGCAAGATGTGTAGTTGATAAACCTCAATGGCAAGCTGCTTGCAACTGATAGTCCTCAATGGCAAGCTGTTTGCAACTCACATTCCTCAATGGTAAGCTGTTGCAGTTGGTAGCCCTCAATAGCAAGCTGCTTGCAAATCACAGTCCTCAATGGATAGCTCTTGCAGTTGGTAGCCCTAAATTGCAAGCCGCTTGCAACTGATAGTCCTCAGTGGCAAGATGTTTGCAATCGGTACCCCTAAATGGCAAGCTGTTTGTGACTATGATCCCTCAACGGCAAGCTGTTTGCAACTGGTAGCCCTCAATGGCAAGCTCTTGCAGTTGGTAGCCCTCAATGGCAAGCTTATTTTGCAAATGATACTCCTCAATGGTATAAAGTTGTTGCAATTTGAAGCCCTCAATGGCAAGCTGCTTGCAACTCACAGTCCTCAATTGTAAGCTCTTGCAGTTGGTAGCCCTCAGTGGCAAGCTGCTTGCCACTCACAGTCCTCAATAGTAAGAAGTTGGTAGCCCTCAATGGAAAGCTTTTTTTGCAACTGATAGTCCTTAATGGTAAGCTGTTACAGTTGGTAGCCCTCAATGACAAGCTGTTTGAAACTGCGATCCCTCAATTGCGAGCTTTTTGCCAGTGAAAGCCCTCAATGGCAAGCTGTTTGCAAGAGATAGCAAGAGAAACTGGTATCCTTCAATGACAATGTTTTGCAACTGCGCTAGCCCACAATGGCAAGCAAGGCTAAATGACAAGATTTGGGCAACTGGTAGCCCTCAATGGCAAGCTTTTTGCAACCGGTTGTCCTATGTGGCAAGCAATTGCTTGCCGTTAATGGCGAGATTTTGGCCACAGATAGCCCATACGGCAAGCTTTTTGCAACGGGTAGCCCTCTATGGTAAACTTTTTGCAACTGGTAGCCCTCAGTGGCAAGCAGTTTGCAACTGGTAGACTTCGACTTGGGCTAGATTTGGGCAACCGCTATTTCTGCATGGAAATCTTTTTGCATTTTGTACACCCAAATGGCAAGCTGTTAGCATGGTAGCAAACTATTTGCAACTGGTATCCTTCAATTGCAAAATGTTTGGAACTTCTTGTCCTCAATTGTAAGTTGTTTGCAACTGCTGGCCCTCAAGGGCAAGCTGTTTGGATGATGACATGCTGGTTGCTAACACACCTGATTAATCATTGTTATATGAGTGTGGATGATCATACAAGTGGTCTTTTAACAAGAGAAGCTGTGCTACCTAAGTGCGTTGCGTATAAGCTTTTTAAGCTCCTTGGAGTTGCTCCAGTTAGGACATTATAAAATCTGGTTTCAAAATACAAATACTGGCCTAACGTCAATTTCCACACCGACACACCTTGCGTATGCTACGGCCACTAAAACTCTTACAAAACTTCGAAACTAAAATATGACAATCGGGTCTCAACATATATATGGCAATACAATGGCCATTATGATTGTGTTCTTCCTTTAATGCAGTCATTCAGTTAGAGCTTATTGTATGGAACGCCAAAGAGGCATTTAATGTGATCATCGAATCGGTGATGGACTTTTGCAATCGGTGATGCATATTCACGATCGGTGATGGACTTTCGCGATCGGTGATGGACTTTCACTGGTGATGCATATTCACGATCGGTGATGGACTTTCGCGATCGGTGATGGACTTTCACTGGTGATGCATATTCACGATCGGTGATGGACTTTCGCGATCGGTGATGGACTTTTACTGGTGATGCATATTCACGATCGGTGATGGACTTTCGCAATCGGTGATGGACTTTCACTGGTGATGCATATTCACGATCGGTGATGGACTTTCGCAATCGGTGATGGACTTTTACTGGTGATGCATATTCACGATCGGTGATGGACTTTCGCGATCGGTGATGGACTTTCACTGGTGATGCATATTCACGATCGGTGATGGACTTACGCGATCGGTGATGGACTTTTACTGGTGATGCATTTTCACGATCGGTGATGAACTTTCGCAATCGGTGATGGACTTTTACTGGTGATGCATATTCACGATCGGTGATGGACTTTCGCGACCGGTGATCAACTTTGCAATCGGTGATGGACTTTTGCAATCAGTGATGGACTTTTGCGACCGATGATCAACGACCCATCACCGATTGCAAAATCCATCATCGATCGCCAAAGTGCATCAGTTATTGAACGTGCATGCCGCTGTGGCTTAGGGTTTCTCGTGTTGCCCCTGACGGTGATATTTGTTTACGGTGTTTTTGTGTTTGAAAGTGTCTTTCTCATATGTGAACTGCATTTTTTTTTAAATTAATGTGCGTAAAATGTTTGTTGTTGGTGTATGCCGCTGTGGCTTTGGGCTTTGGTGCTGCCCATATTGCAACCGGTAAATGCCCAATCGATGGTATCCGGAATAAAAACACTCCTCTGTGGATGTGGCATAAACACTATGATTTGTTTTTATCCAATAAATGGTAAAAAGGTTTTTGCACCTGATGATTGATGGGTGGGCCATCGGAGACAGCATATGGCGGGGTTATTGGGGGGCCTGACCAGGCATCCAGGGGGCACAGGAATGCAATCACATCATCATCATCATCATCATAAATCCATCTAATAGCCAATCTTGGTATAGATATGTGGGGCCCTCTGGTCACTTAAGCACACTTAAGCGAGCACATGATGGACAGTACACAGAGGAACTTTCCTTGCAAATGTTTTTCCACCACCACCCAATCAATCCCGGGACATACCGTTATTTCGTTTTACCGTTTTGCATTTCCTCAAAACAAAAACAGTAAACAAACCATTGACCGTTTTGTCGTTTTACAGTTTTGTAAAACGGTCAAACGGTATTAAGATAAGTACGGTTTCTCTGTTTTATAAGTTTAATAATAATGATCAATGATTTTTGTGTTACAGTTTTACACAAATAACTTTGAAAAACAGCAAAACGGTCAGTATTGAATTGTTTTTTTTTTTTTATTTCAGTGTCATAGTGAGCAGTCCGTGGTGCATTTTGTGGTGCTGGGCAAGGGGGCTGGAGGGGGACCATGCTTTACATGAAAAAGTGTTACCTCGGCATAATGCGTGGTGTGATTCCTGGCGTGACCCTGACCCCCTTCTCACGCGATTCAGTTGGTGGGGTTTAAGAGTTGCAAGCAAAAATGGCGCTGGAAAACTTCAAGGGGGGACATTACTTTTTACAATGGATACAGGGTGGTAACACGTTTGAAGAAGTTACAGATATTTGAAGGAAATTGAAGTTCGGCGCGGCTTTTCAATAGCCAGTTCGAAAACTATGTCGTGATCGAGAACGAAATGTGAGGAGGGTAATTTGGGTCCTAGGCAATGACTCGATCCCATGAGGACGCATTAACATTCCTAGGTGCATTGCTTAATTGCCGAACCTAAATCAAAAAATGGTCGACAGGACTATTGACCGTTTTTCATTGTCATGTTCTTGTAAAACAACACTCTGAAATGAAGCAACTAACCGTTTATCGCTTTCAACAATCAAGAAAAACAACAAAAAGTCACTGTTTTTTGTGACCTAATACCGTTTGACCGTTTTACAACACTGTAAAACGAAAAAACGGTCAACGGTGCGTTTACTGTTTTTGTTTTTGAGGAAATGCAAAACGGTAAAACGAAATAACGGTATGTCCCGGGATTCAACCCCTTACATCCGCCAGTTATAGTGCTCCAAGGTTTCAAGAGACTATACAAATTACAAGGATTAACATGTTCGCAATTTTTAGGATACAGACAGCCTGCTCCTCATATTTATGGGGCAAATGGAACCATTCAATCCCTTGTTTTTCTATTTTGTTAGGCTAATTTGATACTTGCCGTAGCGATCTCACTGTGTCACGAGGCTATGATGTTTTCCTGACTGAATGTACATCTGTGGGAAGCTATTTTTTGTTATTCAAGTTTAATTTGCATTTGTTGTCATTTATTGCCACATATATCTCATTTTCATATAGGCCTACATGTATTTCATTTATTGTCAAGCATATTGTGTATGCCGTGGCTTTGAGTTTCTTGTGTTGCCCACTACTGGTCGGGCCTGGTGTTGCCCCTAAATTGTGTTAATACGGTTATATGTTTTATAATATGTCCGTTCTCACTTGCGAACTCCATTTTTTGTAATGTCCGTGAAATGTTTGCAGTTAGTGTATGCCGCTGTGGATTTGGGCCTTTGGTGTTGCCCATATTCACATATTCACATAACCATAACAATTAACAATTCAAACGGTATATGCCATATCACAGGTATCCGGAATAAAACACTCCTCTGTGAATGTGGCATGAACAGAATGATTTGTTTTATAATAGGCCTATACCCTTCGGGAGACACTTTAGCGTCACACACTTAGAGGCAAAATATTATCGTCGCAAATAGACTCGATTGCTCGTGGTCGAATTAGTAAAAATTACCCGGCGAATTAAGGTAAAATTGGAGTTACGGGTCATTAAAGTTGGGGGGAAAATGTGTGCACTAGTTTATGGGAATGTTCCCCAAATAGCCAATTATGGGTTATTATAAGTTATTGTTTTTTTATCATTATTATTAACATTATTATTATTTGGGTTGATTATCACCATCAAGCAGCTCAGAAGCTGAATTGCACAGTGATTTACAGTAAAAATTAAAATGAATTAAAAATAAACACATTTCACGAGAAATCGAAACACATACAAAATGCACAACAACAATCCATTATTCTCAAAAACATATATACTCGGATAATAGCAATTAAAATTGTATACATTTGAAAATCCTATGTTGAACTATTGATGAGTCTGGGCTATTTCGAAATCTCTTGGATGAACCGGGATACTCCTTGAGTGTTCTACTCGATCTAAGATTCATAGTGTGCCAACTTTTTGATTGAGGAAACCACTCATTAAATTTGCCTGATTTAAAAGCACCTAGAGCAAAGTTTGTACACATAGTGGTTCTTCTATCATAAAGGTGATCCAGAGATAGAGTAATACGGCAAACTCTTTTGGATCGACTAAATTAGATTGGTCTGTTTGAGTGTAATGCTTGAGTGCCAAACCGGCGATGCGTTTGCTAGGACTGGTCTAACATAGGGTAACAAGTTCTTTGAGTAAAACCAGTTTCTTTCAGTTTCCTGAACATAAATAATTTTCTATTAGCTTTACCAATCATCTCAGCAATGTGTTTCTCATGTCCTTAAATTTGAGTCCGAGTATTTTTTTACCAATACGTGATAAAAGGTTCTGCATAATATGATGATTGATGTGTGGGTCATTGGAGACAGCATTATGGCGGGGTTATTGAGGGGTCTGAGCAGGCATCCAGGGGGCACAGGAATGCAATCACATCATCATCATCATAAATCCATCTAATAGCCAATCTTGGTATAGATATGTGGGGCCTCTGGTCACTTAAGCACACTTAAGCGAGCACATGATGGACAGTACACAGAGGAACTTTCCTTGCAAATGTTTTTCCACCACCACCCCTTACATCCGCCAGTTATAGTGCTCCAAGGTTTCAAGAGACTATATCAATTACAAGGATTAAAATGTTCGCAATTTTTAGGATACAGACAGCCTGCTCCTCATATTTATGGGGCAAATGAAACCATTCAATCCCTTGTTTTTCTATTTTGTTAGGCTAATTTGATACTTGCCGTAGCGCTCTCAAGTGTCACGAGGCTATGATGTGGGAAGTTATTTTTTTGTAATTCAAGTATGATTTTCATTTGTTGTTATTATTGCCACATATCTCATGTTCATGTATTTCATTTATTGTCAAGCATATTGTGTATGTCGTGGCTTGGAGTCTCCGCTGTTGCCCACTACGGTTTGGTGTTGCCGTTATTAATATAACCATAACAATTGATAAGTCGACCGGTTTTCCCTATCATTGGTAATGTGGCTATAAAACACCGTGATTTGTGCGTCGCCAGAATTTTTTTGCAGAGGGGCAAAACATTTTTCTCCCCGAAATACCTGGATTTTTCCAGCATATTCACGATTTATCATTTTTCGAGGGTGGGCATTTTTCAAACAATATTACTTCGCGCCCCTTTTTCTGTCTTCTTCCCCCATCTTTTTTTTTTTTTTTTGGGGGGGGGGGCTTTTCCGGGGGGGGGAGTGCTCCCGTGCTCCCCCCTTGTGACGCCCATGGGTGATGGTCTTTCACGATCGGTGATCAACCTTCCATGGACTTTTGCTATCGGTGCAGAGTTTTTTGTTTTATATTATCAAAGTAAGTGGGTGAAAATATCCCAGCCAACCCCCCCCCCCAAAAAAAAAACCCACTTTCTTCAACTTAAATATGCTGTGATTTCTGGGCGACGGAGGCTGCCGGCGTCATGGGCAGACTAAGCTTTGTTTAGGTTATCGGTACATAGGTAACTGTTGCGGTTGTACTCCTATTGGAAAATTTTAGTGTGTTTTTATTTATACATTATTCAATATTTTCCTTTGATAACTCCGATGTTTAAAAAGACTGTGCACACCGGTGAATAATTTATTATTTAGTTAAAGAATAATGTAACCAATTGGGTTAAATATAGCGAATGTCTGTTCTGTTTGTGCACTATACAATTGACCAGGCCACTTAAGACAAGCTCGAAAAGATCTCGGAAGTTGCGGCTCGATTGTAGACCGTTGTAGCCTATACATCATGTACATGATGAAAAGGTATGTTCTTAAAATTGAAAAGGATTCCATTATTTTGCTGAACGTCAGTTGGTGCATGGAACGCGTTTGCATGTGGAACACCCAATTTGTGAGCCCCCATGTAAAAACGATTGACCTCGATCGTGCCCCAATTCCACGACTGCAAAAAAAAATGGTAGCTGGTAAGTGGAGACCTGAAGCACGTGTTGTTGCGAGGGCTAAAGGGACAAGGTGATTGATTGCCAAAGAAGACATGGCTGGCACAAACCATAGAGCTAGCTCTATTTCCCACAGTGGTCTTAGCAGATTGAGTACCATGCTGCATTACAAAAATGTACACATCCAATCATTGCTCTTTGAAAAAACAATGATAATATTTTCTAATCTTAAAAATGATTAAATTCTAAATTTAATTCTTATCAAACACACACACCATGGTTCGAAAATTACATCGGTTACGCGGAAGTAAAATTTATCAGATTTTCGCGAAAGGTATTAAAAAAACAGAAGAGCAAAATAAAGGTTCTGCGCATTTGCAATTAAATTTAACTTGCTCCAGAGCAAGGAACATAGATAAGTATAATACGTGCAAATGATTACGACGCAACACACAGATGCGACGGTCGCGAAAGTCCATCACCGTTTCGGCGATCACATTAAATGCCTCTTTGGCGTTCCTGTTTCGCCAAAAGCGGCATTTAATCGGTGATGGACTTTCGCGATCGGTGATGATCTTTCGCGATCGGTGATCAAAGCTGCGATGACCAGTCGTTGAGTAAAAGTCCATCACCGATCGCGAAAGTCCATCACCGATCGTGAATATGCATCACCAGTAAAAGTCCATCACCGATCGCGAAAGTCCATCACCGATCGTGAATATGCACCACCAGTAAAAGTCCATCACCGATCGCGCAAGTCCATCACCGATCGTGAATATGCATCACCAGTAAAAGTCCATCACCGATCGCGAAAGTCCATCACCGATCGTGAATATGCATCACCAGTAAAAGTCCATCACCGATCGCGAAAGTCCATCACCGATCGTGAATATGCATCACCAGTAAAAGTCCATCACCGATCGCGAAAGTCCATCACCGATCGTGAATATGCATCACCGATTGCAAAAGTCCATCACCGATTCGATGATCACATTAAATGCCTCTTTGGCGTTCCATATTATTGGACCCCTTGGCGCAATTTTTAAACCTAAGCAATTATTATGTCGTCATAAACAAATAAAGGGACATTCTGTGTCTCATCTTTATCAGGTGGTGTTGTGTGAGTGTCAGATGGGCTTCACTGGTGAGTCTTGCGATATGGATTATGACGCCTGCGCCGACAACCCTTGTTTCACGGGTGTGGCTTGCACTGATGAGGCCCCGCCATCGTACAACAGCACCTGCGGACCTTGCCCTGAAGGACTCGAGGGAGACGGCAGGAGCTGCCAAGGTATAAGTCTTGACATTAATATATCAAAATGAGAGTAAATGGTAAATTAGCTATCTGTCTGTTATTTGTCTTCGTTTGCATCGCCGTTTACTACTTCTATTACTGCTGCTGCTGGCATTTTAAAGCCATGTTTTGTTAACAATACGCCAAATATTTAGTAAGGTCTCGTGTATCTGCGTGGTTAGCTCAGTGATCCATGAGGCAAGGATGAACTAGTTGGAGATCACTCCTAATTGCTTTCCATATTGTACCCATGGAGGCTTTCAAGCTAAAGTCCCCTTCCTTGCTTTAATAGATGTTCCAGTCTGTATCAAGCCATGTTCCAAGATACTCGTGCTCTTTACCTCAGCTCCATTGGGTTTTTTTTTCGGATAGAGTATGGTGGATGGTCTGGGATTTTAAAAGCCCTGTGTTGTGTTTTTAAGCATTCGAGCATAGATCCATTTCTCAGCTATCTCTAGAAGATTCATCTGGCTGAACTAATGTTATCGAAAAGGGGTAGATATCGAAGGCAAGCTCTGTCAATATGACAAGGCCGATCCTCTAAGACCTTGAGGTGATTGTATAAAACTGAAGGTCCTGTGTCTGAAAATGGCAGTTCTCGATCTCACGGGGAATAAATTTCGCAGCATGAAAAACTATCGTTTCCTGAGTTCTGTAAGTCATCTCCAATTATTCAGACAATACTTTTTTGTCACTGTCTTAATATGTTTCTGTAGATATCAACGAGTGTGAGTTGTACGGAAACCAAACAGCTAGCAGTGGCGGACCAGGCTGTGATCAAAACTGTGACAACATCCTCATGGACTACACGTGTAGTTGCAATCCTGGATATTTACTGCATGAGGCTGGCAGGCGGTGCATCGGTAGGTGTTAAAGTACATGTCAGAAATGTGAGGTTTTTTGGTCCAAATATGTTTTTTACAGGAAGGTATCTTTTGAAAAACAATGTTACTCATGTTTGAAAAACAATGTTACTCATGTTTAAAACAAATCGGATGTGGTCACGGAGGTGTTCCCTGCACTGTTCTGCACTGCGTGTGTAACTCTTGATACGGGAATAAAATGTGCTAGGCCGGTTTTAAACACTCTGTTTAAGACTGGTTGGAGTCTTGATGCTGATACTTACCCGAGCCGAAGACGAGGGTAAATATCAGCATCCGGACTCCAACAGGTCTTTATAAATAAAGTGTTTAATACCTGCCAAGCACATATTTATTCCCATTCATGAATACTTTTTCGGTCAAAATAAAATTTAAACTTATTCGGTGCAAAAGCCAAAACAAGTCATTAATGTAATATTTCGTTAGTAGATGTTTTTGTATAACCACCTATAAAACAAGCTGGAGATGTCACTTTAAGTGCCCCTTATGTTTTTGTTACGTAATCCTTTTTATCAGAAATACCTGCGACTATGGCTACTGCTTCAACTGCAGCTTCAACAACAACTTATCCTTCAAAGAGCACTACCGCAGGTTTGACGCTTTCGTTAGACATTTATAGTAGGCCTATATTATATTTCTTGAGAGGGAGAAAATAACTGCTGTCACCTGTCAATGCTGCGATCAACGGTTTTTGGTCAAACTAGTTATATATATTATATTTCTTGTCTCTTGTTAAGGCTGCGATTGACGTTTTTTTGGTCAAACTTTTTGTTGTTCTATAAAAAGGTACCTTTTGAAAAAAAGTGCTACTCATGTTTAAAAAATCGAATGCGGTCACGTGATGCCTGCACTGCTCTGCACTGCGTGTGTTTCTCTTGATGTTGGTTCGAAATATGGAATTGACTGTTAAATGTGGAGAAAAGAGCATTCTGATTATGTTTATATTACCTGTTTTTTCGTCTGTCGACATGACGTCATAGGTAACGTGGATTATAAAAAGTACCGGGAAAGTTGGACAACAAAGCTTGAGCGTTTTAGTAAACATTTTGAATGATCACCTATCAAACAAACTCTTCGACATCAAGCACAGTTGGAGAAACATGCATTCTGTCTACCAAAGAAGATGTCGCTAATATTGCCGCTCATTGAATTGGTTATGTTATCCTTTTTAACAGAAACACCTGCAGCCATGGGTCCTGTCTCAACGGCAGCTTCAACAACAACTTATCCCTCGAAGAGCACTACCGCAGGTTTGACACTTTCGATAGACGTTTTTAGTTGATACTTTCCTTGAGAGAGAAAAAAGGCTGCTGTCACCTGTCTAAACTTTGATTGACGGTTCCAAAAATACTAATAGTAGGTCTGTGTAAATTGAAGGTGCTCCCCGATTGCTGTGTCGACCAATCATGGCTGTTGGCTTCGCAACCAAGTATTCCAACTGTACATTTATCATTTTCAGCAAATCCGTCTGTAGCATTAATCTACAAAGGAAAGATAATGGTGAAATGACACCTTTGCATTTTCAAAAAGTAGTTGGTGCATTCGCTGGTGCCAACTCAATTGTTATCACACTCTTGCATACTGCAGATTGATACCTGTTGTTGCAAACATAGGATAGTATATAGTTATCAGCAAAATGCAAGAGAAGGATTGTTAGAGGTAGATTGGATGTAATAAATCACAATGAAAATTAACATACCTCATAAACGTTTGAATTAAAAGTACCAAGTACACGATATAAATACATAACTGGCTACATTGTTTGCAATATTGGGTAGAAATATGGCCAGTTGATTACCTTGCCTACCTATCCCCCTCCTGCACTGTGGCACATAAGGCCATCATGCTCTGCCTACATCTGTGTCTGTTCCGCGCGCATCCCCTGGCCTCCTGCAAACTTTCTTTCCTTTTCTAAGGTACCTCTCCAAGTTAACATGTTCAATAACTATTGAGCGTGTGCGGTGCTGGTCCGATTACTCCCGCATTGACGATAAATCAGTGTTGCTGAAAATGCTCCCTGATTTTCTGTGTGTTATTTTTCAACAGAAGCGCCATCACCGACAGTTCCGATGTCAACTGCAGCTTCAAGGACTTCTCCTGCAGGTCTGCCTTTCAAATGCATTTTTATTTGAATGCTTCCATGTTTTAATGTCGTCAGGGTTAACATTAAAATCATCTTCCCTCTTTTTACCGACAAATAGACATTCCATCGACGACCCCTCAACGATCAACTGGGACTCCTGCAGTGACTTCGAAAACAACTACTGCGGGTCTGACTTCAGAAGTGACTTCAAAATCGACTTCTACAGGTTCGATTTGATATAATGTTCGAAATGGATAATTTGTAAGAGTAACAAAGGCTTGACTGATCTTCCCATCCTATATTGACAAGGGTCTTTTAAATAAGAATGGAAGCAGTCAAAGAATATTTTTGTTACACGGATTGTTTATAGCCTGAAATGCCGAACTCTAATATGATAAAGAAGAGTGTCGGCCACTTTGCATAACCCTGAATCTCTTAATCTCAATTTTGTCCAGAAACAACCGCAAATCCAGTACCAACTACAAGTCCGGGAGCATCCCTTCCAGAAATGACATCTGGTAAATGAACAATTTCTTTTCTTTACATATAGCATACCAATGCTGTATGGCACTGATTGTATCGGATTAATCGGCACCTTAGCATTTTCAAGGATGCTTGTTTAAGTGTGACATTAGATGTTGAAATTTCATTGGTCAACTTATTACATTTTCCTTCTAATTATATATGAATTACTTCTATTTTTTGTTCAAGTTTGGCTCTATTGAACATTTTCAAAAATTAAAGGAACTGTTTTATTCTATCATTATCAGGTCCTGTCGGCAGAGTGCCGACAAGCGCTGGTTCGACTTCTAGCTCAACTTCAAAAGGTATGCAGATCACTGGAAGAGCCAGTTATCCATCGTACTATAGGCCATTTACAGACACGCAACTAACTTTATGGTCAATTTCAGGAATTGACTTGATTCATTTCTTTTTACAGAGCAATCGCGAACAACTGAGTCAATGACCACTTCGAAATCGGTTGGAGGTATGTTCCCTAATTGCATATTTGTATGGTCGAACTATTGCACATTTGTAAAGGTATGTAGATCACAGGAAGAGCCAGTTATCCATTAAACTTTGCATGTAGGCCATGAAAAGACGAATTTGTGGTCAATTTCAGCAATTGACCTGATTAATTTCTTTTCACAGAGCAATCGCGAACAACTGAGATATTGACCGCTTCGAAATCAGTTGGAGGTATGTTCCCTAAATTTTAATTTCGAAATGTGTAATGCATTTTATTTTTATTAATGTTTTAAGTAAAATGATCTGTTACTTTGCAAACACCTTTTTTTCAGAGTTGACGACTGAGCGAATCACAAGTCAAGTTTCAACAGCTCGCACTTTGACAGAACCTAGAACTAAAGGTATTGAATCTATAGATCTCATCTACAGACTATCGAACAGATAGATTCAGATTCAAATTTAGGTTGTCATTTTGGGGAATGCAGCTTGGCCTGATATTGTAAAGAAAATACAACAAGATGTGAATTGATTTTTGTTCATGATCTGCGAGGGACATTGTTCTCGGTTGCAATACAGGGCGAGTCAAAAATCAGGAAACCCAAATAGCAGCACCATTTTTGTAATGAAGTTATTCTGCGTGTTACACTTTCAAAATCTAGGATATAAAAGCCCAATTAATGAATTTTATTTTAGGGCAAGAAACATTCAAATCACTAACGTACTTTTCAAGTTACAGGATTTTAAACGCAAACACTGCTATAAAGCTCTGTCCATGGATAACAAAATCGATTAGTAAGTGTTATTTCAGCAAAACGAAAACAATTTCCGCACATCCCTATGTGAATTGTTTTGCTGCAAGAATACATTTTTGTGATCCGTGGACAGAACTTAAAACGGTGGTTGTGTTAAAAATACTGAAACATGAAAAGTATATTTGTACCTGAGTGATGTGAATGATTCTTGTACTAAAAGAAAGCTGATTAATTGGGTTTCATATTCTAGATTTTAAAGGTGGTACATAATGCAAAACTCTATTAAAAAAAATAATCCTACCATTTGGGTTTCCTTCTTTTTTTACTTATTCACCCTGTACTATGTTATTACGTTATTTAAAGATTTCTGAAGTCCATGTTGGGTATTGACAAGAATCCTTTCCTTTTCACAGAGCAACCGCGCACGTCTGTGAATATGACCACTGCAAAACCACTTGCAAATTGTCGCAAATTGATTTCTATATTAAAGGATGTTTAAATTGGTAAAATAAACGTTTAATTTTGTGACCACTTTTTTTCAGATCTAACGACTGAGCGAATTACAAGTAAAGTTTCAACCGCTCGAACTTCGGCAGAACCAACCACTGAAGGTATTGGATCAAAAGAACTTGTATAATGTCGTGCAGTGGCACACTCAGGGTGCAAACTTGGTTTTCGTTTGCAGTTTCTCCTGCGATCTTTCAGAAACTGTTACAGCTTATTTCCTGTATTCCTTGTCTGGGAGGAACCATTTGTTTTTAGTTTCAATAGTATGTATTTAATATGGTAGTATGGTACGGGATTTCGTGTATCCATGGAGAAATATGGTGTATCTAATTGTATCCTATAGACAAAATCACGGTGAGCTGTCACTTCTATCACGAAGGACTCCTTTCTGGTAATCCTCCATGTGAGGGGGCAGTTACTTTGTACAGTATCGTGCTTATGGAGGCCCGCGAAGGCGGCCCGTGAATATACAGTGATCAAGTGCCCCGATTCGTAATCTTTACAATTTCTTTTTCTGTCCATTGCTTAGATTGCCAGTTATCTGCCTTCAGCTGTCTGAATGGAGGGGCATTTGATGCTGAGTTTTGCAAGTGTGTTTGCCCACTTACCCATTCAGGAGCAACATGCGCTGGTAACAGATATTATTTATGATGAAGCATTTTTTTTTTTAAATGTCGATATATCCAAACATTTTGTTCTTGTTGATGTTGGTCACTCACAAAATTAAAAAGGTATGACGCAACGATTGTGTACTTCTAAGAACTAGAGAAGCGTCCTCTTCATCAGCTAAAAACCAAGTCGTAAGCCTACTGCTCAACATACTAATTACCAATAAACCTACATATATGTGCATGTAATTTTGCAACTGATGGCAGCTTTGGGTCGTTTCAAAAACTACTTGGTATATATACGACATTCGTTTAAGTCAGTTCTTCTCGTTATACTTTTTTAGCTCGTATGCAATGAATGTCATCAGAGACCAATAATTTGACTACGATCGGAGGTTGTATCTCCTAAAAATTCATTTTTGTTTTGCAGATGCGAGTCCGTGTCTCTCTGGTAATAGATGCCCTGATGCTCAACACTACTGTCTACCAGATATAAACCAAGATGGCTTCACTTGCATTTGCAATGTTTTCGAAGGGTTTTTCCCGCAAGATAATGGTTCTTGTCAACGTAAGTCAATATTGTGTCATTTATTTCTATAGGCGTTTTCGAAGGGTTTTTCCCGCAAGATAATGGTTCTTGTCAACGTAAGTCAATATTGTGTCATTTATTTCTATAGGCGTTTTGCTGAAACGTTCGGGATGGCATTCCAATATCACTGCCTTCCCTCAAATTATCATGATTGTGTGTTAAATGTGAATTCGATATTGGTCAAATAAATCATTAGGCCTGCAGAAGATGTGAGTAGGCAATATGCAAGACATCGCCAACTTGAATTTGTATTGAACCCAAAACTGCCGTTAGAACGCACCATGTTGTGTACTGTACTTGCAAACCTCCAACAACCTGCAAATCTTCAACAGCATATCTACATTGTATTTCCAAGCGTCTCATTCAAACAACTAAGTGTTTCATTAAATCATTTTGCACTCGTCAATTCTGTTCAATATCAAAAACATTTTTTTTCTCAATACAAAGCAAAATATAAATAGCCATTAGAACAAAAAGTCATTGTTTTCGATGGAGGTGTGACCTGAATAGGCAAAAACTTAGCGCGCATGAGGTGAATTTTCCTGTTAAAAATCTGAACCTTTTCATACCAGGCTTTCGATGTTTATCATTTATTCACTAGTCCAGTGTATCATTATCTGGTTATCCCTTAAGGCAACTAGTTGCGCCACAGGAGGCCAGTTCAAACGGAACAGTTTACTTTCTGCTGGATCAACCTTTTTTTAAACCCCTAACATGTTACATGTACAGGCATAGTCCGACAAATTCATGATTGTCATTGTTTGTGCATCAATGTCAATGATCAAAGAAAGAAAAACAAAGGTTTCAGTACCCGACAAAAACGTCTATTTCGTTTGATATTTAATTTATGAAACATCTCGGTGTGTTTAGACTACTGAAGAATGATTCAGGCATGCCCAATAAGTCGTTAAGTCAAGTGATACTAATTGTTCCCTGCTGGTGATAGGCATTCATCTGGTGCTGAACTGCCCTAAGGTGATAACATCTTGAGATAATTGAGATAAGAAAGCCTGGTTCAGCAATGGTGAAAACCCAAATATAAGACCGCTTGTCGGGTTTTCTTTTAAAAGAGGGTTCACGGATTAGGCCATAATGTTTTGCATATACGCAAAATAGAAATTACATGATTTCAAAACAAAATCAAACAACGACAGATAAACCATCGTTTATACAGATGAAATCGCATGTAGATGATGATAAGCTTTAATGATTAATTATGGTTATCTTATCGTTTTTTGTACAGAACTTCCGTCTAAGCAGATTGTGTTGACAGCTGATTTGGATTTCAACCAGGCCTTCAGAAATCCGACATCAAGTGCCTTCCGGAGACTAGCTGCTGTGTTTGAACGAGCGGTAATATTAATCAGTTCTGATCTCAATTCAGGAATGAAACGAAAGCGTGATCATTTCATTACATGGGTGTGAACAGTTTATTAAAGAAGGGGCATCATTTTACAGTACAACGCTGAACACTTGCCCAAGCAGATGCGATTACGCCGATCAAAAAAAAATAAAAGAACTGATCAAATGAAATATTAATATTTGAAATTCGAAAGAGGGATGTAGTCTAAGGAATGAAAATAATGCAATCTATATGTATCTAAATCTAATTGGTCTAAAAACAAACAAACAAGGATACCCATTATTGGCGTTCACTCTATACAAACTCGTTGTACTCATGCTGAGGTGTTCTTAATTGATTAGAGACCAAAGTGACTGGGAGATTCTTTAGTGTGACCAGTGTATGTAAACATTTCCTCCAGATTTTTATGAGGCTTAAGGACAATCCATCTACCAACGGTGTATCGTCAGTTCACGTCCCGTGGATGGAGGAAGGCAGTGTTATCGTGAGGTCTGTGGCTTCATTTGAAAACGGTGCGCCCTCAGACATCACCGTGCAGGAAGTCATGTCAAGCAGTCCATCACTGAGTGACGGCAATACGGTCATCTCCATCAACCGTGATTCTGTAATCGTAGACGGTAATACACATGTATACAAACCAGGACTGTGGGTGAAGGCCGCCCTCTTGTGTGAAAAGAATAACTGCCTCAAGGGGCAGCCTCGTAGACAAACATTGAGGACTAAGGACTGTGGAAACTGCAGCCTCAATCTTAAATATAAATTTCGTATTAAGCTCCCATCATACATTCAGTTATTTCATAAACTGTGGAGTGGCTATTCAAGGATATAGCCCTATAGATTGTAGCTAAATGCAGAATGTATGTTTGAATTTCGGTCTAATCCATTTTAGTTGAGCGTCCGTGAGTGCTTTAAAAAATGACTGGATATATGCACTATCCCTTTTGTTTATAATGTATTACGATTGATCTCTACCAATGTCCTTGTCTTTCGGTCATTGGTTGTTCTGTTAATTCGATAGTCTATGAAAATGGGGTTTTCTTTTTCATGACAGATGGGGAAGTAGTCTGTGTACCAACCTACTGCAAGAATGGCGGGACATGTGAGACGTCTGGGAACTTCCCTTACATTTCATTTACGTGCAGGTAAATCCAAAATCATTTCACAACATTCCGGTGAATTGAACGGTAATGCATCTGCCAATACAAATTGATATTGTAAACTAATTGTTGTAGGTACGGCCTGTCAAGAACAAGTATTAAAATACGGTGCATGCGAATTTCTTTCTTTGTGCATTATTTCATTCGGGAAAACGTCACACATCCACCAGATAGGTATGCGATTGGTTAAACTAGGGAGTATGTAACGATCCCTTGCACATTTCAAACGTAATAAACCACAGTGTTTATTGTTCTTTCTTTTTCCTTTTTAGCTGTCAAGCTTCATATACCGGGGAGCGTTGCGAGACAGAAATCGACGGTAAAAACTCGTTGAAAATTGTATAGTCCAGTGTAAAGCTAAAGGAATAGCTAAGAAGATGTGTGTATGTCGGGTCGGCTCCTACTTTTACCGAAAGAGAATTTCTCGACGTCAACGAATAGTCATTGTGACGTTCGCTGTACAACCAAATTAATTTGCACCTGTTTGCATTGTAGAACAGGCAAATAGAATCCTTAACATCACTTACACTAAATTAAAACTAATTAAGTGTATACACAAGTCAGGTTTCCACTTTAACGGCCAATTTTCAACCTTAAATGCATGAGTTGCACATTAGCCAAGCATATTTACTTGATCATTGCATCCGATGAAGTTAGCGTGAAGTTGTTGCGAAAGCTCATTCATTCGTGTACAAAGCTCTCTATGTCACTCTGGTTTTTCTGTCGTTACTTATAGAGTTTCACATAATTGCATACAAAACCTATTAACCATGAGTTAGTAATCTAATAGTTTTTGTATTAAATCGGTCTCCCCTTCAGAGCCCGGCTCAGGCGGTCAGTCCACCATTGCTTTAGTACTCATCATCGTTGGCTGTGCTGTGCTTATTCTCGTGGCGGCGTGCATGCTGCTCTGCATGTGTCGTCTGGTTTGGAGGCAACGTACCAAGCCACTTGCTTACCGTGACCACAGACAGCGGTCGGGTGTGCCTAGAGAAAGCCGGAGCATTCCTGATCTGAGCACGGAGTCTGGTGATGTCCCCCGCATGGCATATTTCCATGATGAGGAGGATAGGATGAGTCGTCTGATGCACGTCATGAGACGCTCTCCCTACCTACAGCAGGTAAAAGGCAATAAAGGCACAAAGGAATATTGGTGATTCCCCTGAAAAGAATAACAAAATAATAATGTTTAATGTTTTTATAAAGCGCATGTATCCACCAGTATTGGTGCTCAAGTTGCTACATCATTATTACCCTGCTCATTGGGCCCATGAAACATTCCAAATACAATCTCAGCTCCCTGGGGAGTATACTGCTCGACGCTGCCATGGTTTGCGCAAAGCAGCCAGAATCAACCGCAATAACCATCTATGCCCTCACAGGTACCCAATTTACTGCTGGGTGGGGAGAATCAATGAGTGACAAAGTGCCTTGCTCAAAGGTACACTTACCATAAGTCCATGGCTGGACTCGAACCCACAACCTGCAGAATTACCCGCAGACCACGAATTCAATGCTCCAGCCCACGATGCCACGACACCCCACACTTCAAAATTCAAAAACATGCTACGCTCGCGTCAATCTCCATAAAAGGGTTGTTTACATCTTACTCGCCAGCTGAACACTCCATTATTTTGCTAGAGGGATGTTTCAAAAAGCATGAAGTGAACTTGTTGAACAAAATCGGGATTTTTTGTACGAATTATTAGATTTTTTTACCGAAAAGGTATTTATGAATGGGAATAAATATGTGCTCGGTCAGTATTTATCACTCTGTTTAAGACCGCTTAGAGTCTGGGTGCTGATAATTACCCTCGCCTCCGGCTCGGGTAATTATCAGCACCCAGACTCTAAGCGGTCTTAAACATAGTGATAAAAACCTCCGGAGCACATATTTATTCTCTTATTAAAGGTGGCACAGCTAGGATTACCCATTCACGGGGACCTCGACGACACGAACACTTACCAACCGGTTGTGAATGATGGCCCGACTGCTAATTTAGGGATTCACGTGCTCCGTGCACGCAATTCAATATACGAAACGACAAGTTTAAAATAGGAAACAATAGCAACTGAATCCAATTACGAGACGAAAGAAACTGTGCATAGCTTTTCTCTGCTTGCTCAAAGTGTATGGAAACGTGAACAGGTCAATTGTTATGCACACCACTTAAGATTCTGATCAATTTTGTTGCTTCAAGCGAAAAAATGCACAAAAAACAGATGATCCGATTATCTTTAATGTGTTATATTTTATGAAAGAAAGGTCGATTGCGAACCACAATTTAAAACGATTATTGTAATGCTTTGTTTTCTCTGTCTGTAAAGGGTTTACCGGGCCAAGAGGAGTTTATCCGACCCTACATAGCAACAGGAATGGAAGGGCCGTACCGTCAAGATCCTCGCGTGAGTAATTAACAAGCTCAGAGATATACATACTGCAGGCATCTTTGTTATAGTTTGACAGATTTTTGTGTCTGGTTGGGATTACATCAACAAAAGTATCTATTGCCCTTCACGGGGGCAAAACTTAGCAACCATTCTTTTCAAATGTGCATCTGAGCATGGCGGACACAATTAGAGAGCTCCATGGTTGCAGACCAGTACAACCCAAAAGTATCAAACATAAGTCGCAGCTCTCCAAGGTGTTTGAGACACACATCATATTAAAGCTTAATTCATCATCTTTTATTTTCCGTTCAATTTTTGGGGCGCTAACTAATAACTTTCGGGAGAGAATTTTATCCAAAGATGCTCACCTAATCGCCATTTTGAAAAAGGACGCCTACGCTCCATTGCCCAAAAAAGCAGATAGCCTTTGTTAGGGCCTAATTTCGTACGAGTTAGACGAGTCTCGAATACGAGCTTGCAGTCCAATGGACGGCTTCCACCGTCCTTTTTTACAAACCCTCACGTTCATGGCCCTCGCAATGAATATGAGGGCGCACAAATTGTGATTCGGCCAGCGTAGGCAATTTAAGGCCTATTTACTGGCCTGCCCCCATATATGCGGAGTGGGCTGAAAGATTATACTAAATCCAAATAGCCTGCTCCTCCTAATTAAGAGTTCTTCAACCAACGGCGAGAAATAAGATGGAAATATATAAATTACTGGGTTTTTTTGCGTGATCTTCTGCAGCTGTACATCCGTAAAGTTATAGTGGTTATACATGTATGTATGGTGTTGGTATTTAAGGCAGCGTACTTGGACAGCGTATTTTCATTAGATACAGGGTTGCCGATGCAACGTTAATAGATAGTCAATCTCTTTTTATATACAGGCCGAGTATGCAGGACGTGTGGTGCACAATCCGATGGCCATCTAAAATTCATCGCCAACGATTCCCTTTGATGTTCTGTGCTCAATTCATATTTCAGATAATATGTTTGTAAGTTGACAATGCTTCGTTGAAAAGAAAATTCCTTCTGCAGTGCCTGATTTGATGACAGCGCGCTTAAATATCACAGGCCTGTCTTCCTTTGTCTCTATTATTCACTGTCCTTTCAGACAAGTGCCTAATGAGTGCCTAATGTCTATACCTATGTTACCCGGGAAAATATATTGTGTTATCTGTAAAAAGAAACAGCTAACATTAGCGGTATGTTTGTCCATAATATTTACATGCTAAAGTAGGCGGTTTGTTTTCCAGTAGACATTTAAGAACCCTAGACCAAGTAATTTCAAGGCGTAAATACATTAGCTTTAATAAAAACTCAATATTGTAACTCGGAGATCATTATTCCAGCGGTTTATTGTGTTATAACATTTAGTACATTGTAACAACATTAAGTTTATTGTACACAGAGTAAAAAATTAAATAAATATATATCTTTATACTTGAATATACGACGACTTTAGCCCTATTGGTATGAATGTTCTAAGTATGTTCCGAACTTTGGCACAGCAGAGAAACAAATTTCTTGAGACGAATTCAAATTTTCAAACTCCCAAACAAACAGGCAAACAGCTGAGAGTAAAGGGCATGGCAGAGTACAATGTTTATAAATATTGATTATTGGTGATTGGGACGTTTCGTATAAAAAAAAGGTGGATATTTAAGTTTACTATTGTTGTCTACTCGGAATATTAAATAGCCAGGATGGATAATGAAGTAATCATGATAAGCAAATATTTTGTTCTCATTACGAACGAGATAGCAATTAGAATACAACATAATTTTATTGATAAACTGCGTTTTGCAGTTCAATCTTGTTATGTGGAAAACAAACACTGAGTTTCTCTGTCATGTACATTGGCATACAGTACTAAAAGTGTTGAAATGACAACCTTAGATATACGAATAAACGTACAGGTTCTTCATTTCGTCAGATTGTTACATTCTTGTATATGGAAAAAGGAATAAATTTTACCTGGTTTAGAGCCAAGTCTGCTTGTAAATTCGCCTGAGATTATATGAGATTTGTGTATAGTTCTTAGAACAAAATATACAAATTCAATACTTTGGTGTTTGGTCGTTATTGTATATCATGCACAAATTGAGAGTTTGCATCATGAACGAATTGATGATTAATTAAAAAAAACAGGGTAGGAGTATAACAATCGTTAGCTAAAAAGTAATTTTTACAATAATGGTTAAGTCATTTGATGGCCGATGTTCATTGACAATACTCATTACACTTCAAGGAGTTTGAATATCTTTTTCCACTTATTGTGTGTTCGTTGAACAATTTATGATAAAATAGTTAATTGTATGTCTAGCTATCCTGTAAACGGAAAAGTAAACTTGAGTCATCTGTAAGGCGCAACCGAATTGTACATTTGCAATTAGGCCTAAATGCGCCGGTTTTAAGAGGGATGTCTTCATTGTTTTAATTCGTGTTTTCATTAATTGTGAATTCGTTGAAAAAAAAAGTATGGTTAATTGTAAGTAGGTTTCCTGTAAACTGAACCTTTACATTGGCACTTGCCATTTACATATCATTTACGTAGTCATGAAGCAGTGTTGTAGTCGAGTACTTAATTGTAAGTAGGTACTTAGGTTAACCGAGTACGAGTACTTGTACTTCCAAGTAGGCTACGATAACAAGAACGAGTACTTGTTTTCCGAGTACGAGTACGAGTACTTCTATTTCCGAATACGACCACACGGCAAATGGTGCACAGAGGGAAATCGGGAAACATCGATTTCTCTGCAAGCCAATCAACCATTTCAAACTGAAAGAATCGATACAATAAGGCCGTGGTAAGTCATGTTATAACATTTTTTTCCGAGTACTGCTTTTCGAGTACGAGTACTTTGATAATATAGTACAATTTCGACATATCAAGTACGAGTAGGCCTACTTTGCTGCCTGAGTACGAGTACCGTCATTTCGAGTACGAGTGCTTTGACATTCGAGTACGAGTGCGAGTACTTAAAAAAGGACTCAAGTAGTACTCGGTACGAGTACCGAGTACAAGTACTACAACACTGCTATTCAGTTGTACATTAATTTATAGGCCTAAATGCATGAGGTTAAGGGCATGTACTCAGAGTTTTCATTCTAATGTAGTGACAATAGCATGTTTAAATTTGCGTTTCTCGAGGCTATTCCAGACTTTTATCCCGAAAAAAATGGATTGTACTTTTTCTAGTAATACACAAAGTTATTCATTTTTGAATGAGACATCGGCGGAAAACAAAAATCGGCCCATATTTTTAGTTATTGGTTGATTAGTAGACAATTTCGATTTATCGGCTGCCAGACAATAATTCAGTTTCAAGGTGTTGACTGGTTCACGCCCCACACTACCCGTTCATAATACATGTATCGGGAGCCAGTCTGCTCAGAAAACGGATCTGTTTGTGCCCAAATCAATTGTTGCAGTTGTCCACAAAAAGAAAAAAATAGGAGACGGCGAATTTGGCCTTTCAGAGGGTTGGAATGAAACATACAAGTTGAATATGTTTTAATAAGAACGCATCTCGAATGTTTTGAACAGCATCGGGGAACGCCACTTTAACATGTATGATCGATGTGAGTACCAATTTTTGAAAGTGATGTGTCAATTAAAGATCACGCGATTTTCAGGTGATTCTTATTTTAATAGTAGGAAGTTCATAGACATCCTGGGAGTTAGTTTGAACCTGCATTTGAATCACGTTCGTTGAGAAGAAATGCACCCACTTTTAGTATCAGCAAAGGGTTCGTTAGCGGTGAAGTATCCGTAAATATAACCACAATGGCCGAATCATGTTGGAAAAATGTGTATGGATAATTTTATGTCAACAACTATACCATGCTACCAAAATAGTCACTGATTAACAAAAGATTAAAATCAATCTTGATATTCTCACAGTTTGACAACCCGAGAGAGAGTGTTTATGATTCCGCCCCCTCTGCTGTCTGGGGCCTACTCCTGTAGATCTCATTTCACAGATAAACAAAATGAAATATTCTTCAGCGATTGCAAATATTTTAGGACTCGCATTTGAAAATCTCGTAATTAATTTTAAAAAGTAATGATCTAGGCACTTTATTGAAAAGAATTTAAGTTACATCCTTTGCCCGAATTGTTTTCTTATTTAAGGTTATGCATTTATACATTATGCTTAAGCTTTTAGTGTTATTTTTATTGAGACTGCCCCTGTGATTTTAAAAACTGATGTTATTAATTCGGAAGCAACTTAAGTCTTGGTCATAATAAAATATTATTTGGTGTTAGAGGTACAGAACATGTAGACCTCACAGTCTCTTGTTATTTTTAGGAAACCCAAGTGACGTAAGTGATCTACGGGAAAGTGATGGGATGTACAGTCATGTATTGATTATATATTGACGGAGGTTGGCGGCCCTTTAAAGCACTTTTGGAACAAAATCTCTCCCTCATAATATTATTAACAGAACATTTTTTCTATCCATCGGCTTCAAATTTGCGAGAAGGCACTTATTATTGGCATATCGACTATTCAAAAAGGGCATTTCAACGATACCAGCAGTGGTTCCAGTGGCGCACCCATGATTTGTTTTTTTTTGGGGGGGGGAGGCTCAATTTTTTTTTTTTTACAAATTTGTTAAAAGTTCATTTATTCAAAAAAATTTGCCCAAAAGTATTGGCCGCAGAACTTTTTTTTAGGAGCGGCCTATTTTGACGTTGGTGGCGCCACTTACACCCCTATTATACTACTCGAAAACAGGCCACATTCATATCACCAAGGCCAAATCGTGGGACCCCCCAAAAATACCCCCCGGGTGCGCCACTGAGTGGTTCCTGAGTGGGGTAGCATCCGACTGGTAAGAAGGGTATTTCCCCCATTGCTTTTATGCTTCAGTGCCATTTTACATAAGTGCTATATTTGTGTTTGCATGAGTGCCATTTTTGGGTACCATCCGACTGATAAGAAGGGTATTCCCCGTCCCCCCCCCCCCAATTGCTTTTATGCTTGAGTGCCATTTTGCATTAGTGCTATATTTTTGTTTGCATGAGTGCCATTTTTTGGGTACCATCCGACTGGTAAGAAGGGTATTCCCTATCCCCCAATTGTTTTATTCACGAGTGCCATTTTGCATAAGTGCTATATTTTTGTTTGCCTGAGTGCCATTTTTGGGTACCGTCCGATTCAGTGGTAAGAATGGTATTCCCCACTCCCTTGAATCGGAATTATAAATAAGGTTCACGTTTTCACTGTCCTGATCGACCTTCCACCTGTCTGGTATTCAGTGCAATGTATCATTGTGCCCGTGTATGTCTGCAACTCTGCACACCATCCGTGTTCGTGCACCTTAACTAATGTTAAAGGATTAAAGACTTGCCGTCAAATTATTTGTCTTACTATTTCTCTGTTAGTCCAGACGTGCACGTCCGTTCAAGCTTAAGAATACTATACGGACAGTAGTAAAAAAAAAAATATTCTCACTTGTGAACAAAAACTTGGTCGCCAACAATAAGGTACAAAATAATTAAAAGGTCATGACTAGACGCCTCTCCGGTTGATTAGTCGGCCAGCAGCAAATGCCACGCCCGAAGCATTGTGTCCACGCTTATTAAAATTGGAAACTGAAATCTTGATGGTTGATTTGATCTGGTCAACAAAAGTGTTACCATAGAGATTAGTTCTCCGCTTCCCCTTGTACGCCGAAAAAGTGGGATAATAGCAACAAGATCCAATATGTGCCGCTTGGATCAATATTTGTTGCGTCAGACAACTCACGTAAGCCTCTGTTGCTTAGTCGTCCAGCAAGCAATATTAAATACCTCGCCTGGCATATAGTCCCCACATCAAACCATAATTGTTTAAATTGACAACACGTTTTCCTTTATTGTTGATTAGATCAAGCAAACAGAAGTGTTACCATAGAGACTAGTTTTTGTCCTTGTACTCATAACGCCAAGAATTAAATGTAACCATAGCAACAAGATGCATTGTGTGCCCATTTGATCAATATCATTTTGCGTCAGACAACTCAGAAAACTTCTGCCACGACCACTAGTCTTCATTCCCATTATTCGACCCCACTGTGGAGACACTCGACGTTAGCGCTTTGGAACACACTTGATTCTCGTTAAACTCGGCTATCGTTGTCCTATTAAAACGAATCAACATGTTCTTGTTCAAAGTGTTTGGCATTGTTGCTGTCACTTCAGTGATAAATGCTCAATTTCGGTCTAGTTCCTGCCACTCTCGGCTCACTGTGGAATGCTCTTGCCCGCCACAGTGGCAATTGTTGGCAAACGAGTGTTATCGCCTCACTCCTCTGACAGCTCAAACTTGGGATCAGGCCAAGTCGGCTTGCCAAGATATGGGTGGCAAGATGGCTGCTCCTCGCTCGCTGGAGGAAATGAATTTCATGACAGATAAGGCACGAGAAATGGACGACACTGGCGACTACTTCGTCTGGATTGCTTGTAATGACAAGGAAATTGAAGGAACCTGGGTGTGTGACGGTCAGGAAGGAAGAAAGCCCTTCCTGGATTGGGATGCTGGGCAACCAGATAATAATGACAACGATCAAGATTGCGGTCAAATAGCGGCTAGACATAATGACAAGATGGATGACGCTAGCTGTGACAATATGCATCCGCATTTGGCTTTTTGCATTCGTCGAGCTGCTTGCACTCACGGCCTAATCCAGCTCCGTCACTAATGCATCTCTACCGACACCCACGGCCGCGTTCACAACTCAACCTGCCTCTTTGACCACATAACGCAGGAGCCTCGTCACCAAACGTGTTGTGCGCCTGTGACTCGGCCTGCGTCGAGGTGCCTGGGTGTCACTTTTTCCACATTTTAAGAAATGAAGAAAATATGCCATCTAAACAATACTGTACAAGCTATCTGATTTTCCTGTGTGTAACGGCTTGTCATTAAAAAAAGGGTACAATAACAGAGACATCTGCAAAGTTGAAGCTGAAATTGAACTTGCTGGGAAAAAAAGACTTTGTAAACAACAACAAAAACCTCGCTGCATCGGAATTGACTTTCGTGGATATGAAGATAGAGAAGGAATTTTAGTTGGTCTACAGCCAAGTCTGCTTGTAAATTCGCCTGACCTATTTGAGATTGATGTGTAATAATTCATTTGCGAGTTAAATTAGAATAAAATCTGGAATGCTGACTTAATCCAATGCTTGTCACATTCTCCCGACCAAAGAGACTGTTACTATATCACGTGATTCGGGGCAAGCCTTATGCTAGCAACCCCCAGCTCCAGCATGGTCTGGTGTCTTTGTGCCATTCTTAACCATTGTGAACAATTAATGTATTGGTGCTGAGCGTCTCTTACGTAACTATGCAAGAGCTTGCCCCGAAACATGTGATTAGCAACAGTGTCCGGTCTGGAGAAGATCAAATTCAAAATGTGCCGAACATTCTGAGCAAGTCAGTGTACCAAATGTTTTTCAAATGTAAATCCCAAAGGGGAAAGGGGCTAAAAACAAAATGTACAAATGTAAATACTTTGTAGACTTGGTATTTAATAAATTGTTGTGTAACACAAAATGAGATTTTACATTAGGAACGTCCTGTTGATTTGAAATGTTAGGTAATGAGTGACTAGCGTTAGCTGTCAAATATTTGACTTTATCAGTTGTCATTTGATTGCCGATATGTTGAATTATCCCTTACATTACGTTTGAAAGTGTTTGTACACATTTTATAATTCATTGTGAATGCGTTAAAAGTGTCTAATATTATGGCTGTGTGTAGATTTCCTGTCAATTAAAATGAATATTGAAGCTTGTCAGTAATAGAGTATTTTTAAGCGTCATAATGCATTGTACATTTGCACTTATAGGCGTTAGTGCGTGTATTCAATGTTATGGGGTTCATGAGTTTAAAAGAAGGAAGTTGTTAGATATTGTGAATCGGTTTTAACTTGATTTGAATCACGTTAAATGCGCTCACTTTTGTATCAGCTAAGGGTTCGAAGGCGCTGAAATATCCCGAAAAAACCCAATCATGGTCGAATCATGTTGGCAAAATATTAATGGATGTTTTTATGTCAACAAGTCTACCATGATACCAAAAGTCACTGGTGAACAATAATTCCACGGCCTGCACGAGTACCCAGGGTTTGCATCCCTCTCAGGCTTCACCACTTCCATATAACCCCATATCACCATTGGAATATGTAACGATAGTTGGTCTAGCGCCCTCCATCGACCAGTCTCAATATAGTCTTGTAAAGATCTACAGCAACTGATCCCTTCACATGCCTCTGTTAACAACGCCCAATTCAGCCAGTTCACCACCTAACACAGAGCCAACCATCTTGAGAAGAAGCAACAGAATCTAAGCAACTCCAACCATGGAGGAATTCCTTCCTCCATGCTCCAACATATCCCGGACAGTATGTCACAAAATAAGAACGTAAGGACACTGGACTCTTGAAAGAAAAGACATAGTACAAAGGTAGTGTTATTATTATCATAACATTGTTTGTTGTTGTAGTTGAAGTTTAACTCTGTTAGTTAATGTACCTCTAAAGTGTACCGATTCATAGTTTTAAAAAGCTGTTAAAAAATTGTTTCTTTTCATGGAAGGAAAGGTGTAACGATAGTTGGTCGAACGCCCTCTATCGACCAGTCTAAATATAGTCTTGCACAATGGCCGCTAATAAACTAACCCAGATAAACGTTAGGAGAGAACGTAATCGCTTAGAATCAAGCATCATCCTTTAAATAGCATCAGGCGTTTGCCATCAGTTTCCTGACGACAGACAGGGCGCACTGTCCTAAACGTTAAGTTACTTTTTTTTTTCATATCATCTCAATGAATGCCATTCATTGCAAAATGATGATAAGAAAATAATCTGGGACTGAGAAATATTTCAAAGTTTGTTAGTAGATACTTCTCCATGTACTTTGAAAACAGAAGTGATGTGCGGTTGCAACATTTTTTTCCGAGAGTTTTGTTAAAAAGGGGAAATAAATCCGAGAACCATTCGAATAATAGTCTGGTTCCAGCAGCCAATACAACTGACATTGAATATTTAACGTCATGGAACCAGGCGTTTCTGAATCGAAAGCAGTTAGAAATCGTGTAACGGCTGCCTTAACGATAGCCACTTCATCATGCAGCGACGAACTTCGTTGCCTTGCGCATGGTAAGTTACTTCAACTCAGTCTGATCAATCGATAATTACAACAACCTACATCCATATGGCCAACATATTTCTATGCAATTTAGAAACCTATCCTCGGCATAGTTTTTGTGACTGTCGGTGCCAGCCGGTCCTTTTATTCTATATCTATATGGTGCCAGCGAGTCATGTTCGTTTGATAAGGCAAAAAGCTATAGCCACCGCGTTTTGTGTGAGCGTCATGCGTCGTCAGCAAGACTAATCCTGGCCTCCAATAGCCTTGGTCAATGCTGTCGTCGTTATTCTTCCCGATCCCGTACGCGGTAATGCGCTATACAGGTGCACACCAGTAAATCGATCCGCCAAGCTCATTAATAAAAGTAGAGAGTTCTGAGCGCCGTAAAATTGGGGAATTGAAGAGATATGGTAATGAACCTCTGGCCCGGACTTGGGGCTTCCAATTCTGAGCATTTTGGATGCTATTGGGTTCGAAAGTGGCGCTATTTTGCCATGCTGTGGAGGGATCGTTTTTCAAGATGGCTACTTTTCCGCTTTGGGGAAAATATGGGTCGTCTTCTTTGCGTGAAAATATCTCGAAAAGTCAATGGTCAACCCACCAAAAATTGAAAAGAAAATGAAAGATGACACATTGATCATCATTTTTCTGTGCAGCTTGAATACCTGTGAGAGTTTTGAGTATTTTTAAAATAATTTTGAAGTATGGGCATTTAGCACTAGTGTCTATGGGAGTTTATTTGCAGGTATGCATCCATACATGTAAAAATACAACGCGAACAGCGACCTCATGCGGCTACTATTTTTAAGCAAATCAGTTATAAGTGGCCACATGAGGTCGCTGTTCGCGCTGTATTTTTACATGAATTGCGCACGAGCGAGGATTTGCCGCTGATTGATTACCGCGTACGGGACGGATAACGACGACAGCATTGACCAAGGCTACGCCCCCAATAACTTTGGGTACATTCCAACCTCGTTCCCATGGGTACGAGATCTTGCTGCGCCATGTTGTTTCCCATCATGCCTTGCGAGTTAGTGAAGGAACGCGCACGCGCCCATGGAGTCGAGGCTGGGTACATTCAAAATGCGCAGTCGGGAACTAGTCGGGAACTTGTCTAGGTCACCCCCAACTCTCCTTTTCTGGCCGTTGATGGGGTACTTGTGCACGCAAAGCCCATATCTAGTACATATACAATTCTGACAGTGAATGGCATTGAATTTCCTGTTTTGAATGGGAATATTGTGTCGTGGTTTGGGGAACTATTAGGCCTACAGTCCTTCCTTTCAAGAAAAGTGTGTGCGGTTGATTACCAAGTTTGGCCACTGCTATTTCCGGCAGATCTTTGTTCTTCAAATTTTCAATTAGCCGTTAATTATTCGTCGGGATTTGATGCTTTGCAAGCAATCGTATTGCACCGAAATTAATGCTACAAGCAATGGTCTTCAGGTCTTGGTGTACTGAAAGAAAATTATAATGCGTTAACATTGTATTTAAAGCTATTGCTACGTGGTCTTCGAGTAGAGTCTACGCCACACACGCATTATGCGCACTGATGTTTCTCAAAAGCGTCTATTTAAAGTGTGTTTTTTTTTTACAAATTTGGATTCGGGATCGCCTTCTATGCATTTCGCTCGGATTTCTGGATCACTGGATCTGAAGTACGTTTTCTGTTTGGCTAGTCACGAGTATAATTTTTTGTTTGCTTCAGCACAATGCTTTGGGTCACCTGATCCGCATCAAGAACTTTAATTATTATTAAACGGTCCTTAACTTTGTGTTATTTTTGGTTTTCTTTGAAAAAAAAGTTGCGATCGGGTCAGCTTTAAAGAAACTGTAACAAAGACGCGCTTACGGCGCTTTCCCCTAGACTGATATCCTGCAATGTCACAATCCTGTTGGCCAAATAAACGTTTCATTGCTTTAATTGTTACAGGTTGGGTACGTACGAATCGTTTTGGTTAGGTAGGGTCATAGACACGATTTGTTTGGCGAGGTTCAGTCAATAACTTTTAGGTTGGTTGGGTCAGTTTACTTACTGACGCAGTGGTGTCTGCATGCACAGACATTCTGTAAAGAGGGTTCATTCAGACGCGGCCTAATCAGCCGCAGTAATTCCGAACTTTACCAAAACGGATATCGCCGCCGCTTCTACTATCGGGAAAAGGGAAAATAAAGGCGGGGAAAATGCTTCTCTTGTCGGTGCTTCTTGTCAGTTCCATCACGGTGGTTCACTCGGGCAAAATAGAGACAACTGCCGACTGTATGGTAAGTCGCAACAAATGTTTCTTTCGTTCTTGAATTTGAGGTGGGTCTTTCTTTCGCCTGGATTCTCCACTCCCGGTTTCCGGCCTGTGGTGATTAAAACTCAGTATTGGAATATGTGGCTAGTTCGAGTGGGGTAGATTGTGAATGGGTTGATTAGGGTGAACGGGTATGGGGGCTGGGTAAGATGTGAATTGAGACGACAAGTGGAGTTGTCTGTTGCCTGGCTTGTTACATAAGTTATTGGTTGAGTGTTTGGGAGTATAGGGATTGCAAATGTGTTAAGTTAAATGATTTAAATGCTGAGATATATTGGCTGGTAGGTGCGGTTTAGAAGACGAACTTCAGGGTATAGAGCAGGAAGGTAAGGCTAAGTTAATAAAAGTTTGACAGCGGCACTGATTCATGACTAGGCTTAAATCAAATGTTCCGTTAATTGGCCGGTTTTGTTCATCTGCCATGCGCTGCGATTATACCGACATCGCATAGGCCCCTCTATGGCCCGACCTTCCCGGGGTCTACTCGATGTTCCCCAATACCGATGTTCCCCACTACCGATGTTCCCCGAAATCCTTGGGATACGGGTTAGGGTTGGGTTAGGATTAGGGTTAGGGCTAGGGTTAGGGTTATAGGTTAAGGATTTCGGGGAACATCGGTATTGGGGAACATCGGTATTGGGGAACATAGGTATGCACCCACCTTCCCGGGCTTCAAATGCAGTATTACCATGCGGCACTATTGCTAGGTTCACATTCCCGCATTATTGCAACGAATACCCTGATCTATCCCGAATAAACAATATGTAAGCATCGGGAGAAATTAGCCCCGATTCGCTGTTTGCAAGAATGAAACAGAAATAATCAAGAGCTAAGAGCATAATGCTAGGTTCACACATTTCCGAATCCGAATCGCCGCAATTCTTAATTAAATCGGGGATGGTTCTTGGCTGCCTCGGGATTATTCTGTTATATAGTTCGGTGAAAGATCGTTTAAGATCGGGAAGCGCCCCGACAATTTTGGACATGTTCAAAATTGTCAGGGTTATTCCGGAACCAATTTCAATTCTTGGTTTGTTCTTGTTGTATTCATAACTAATTCTGGATATTCTTACAGTACTTGGATATTTTTACAGCATTCTTACAAGTATCGTAGAGTTATTTTTGGTGTTAAACAGTCCAGAATCATGCCGAATCATTACGAATCATTTTGTTATTCCATACAAAATTGCTACAATTTTGTTTTATTCTGCACTAAATCGCCATCATTCGGCTTGGTTCGATCTGATTCGGCTTCCAATTCATACCTAGTTCTTGATTATTTTTGTTTAATTCTTAAGTCATTCTGACAAACAGCGAATCGGGGCAAATTTCTCCCGATGCCATCAAGAATCTTGATTCGGAATAAATCGGAAGTATTCGTGTTTCGTGACAATAATTCGGGAATGTGTGAACCTGGCATTACACGCCAGACGCTTCTGTGCATCCCCTACCCCGATATACATGTGCGTCAATTACAATCATGTACAATGACCGACTTGAACAATTCGTCCTCGACTTTGTTCATAACATATTTTGACTTGCTACCAGATTTGGGCGGTGGCTATGCCCCCACCCCACCCCCAACAAGTGTCAGTAATTTAACCAGAATAGGATTTCCCGCTACGGATTCTTGAAAAAGAATCGTAGGAAAAACAGGGAAAATGTGCTGCATGGAGTCAGAGCAATGTGATTGAGCCACCCCCCCTTTTTTTTTAATTTGCAACGGCTGACCGGCCAATTGCCCCTCCCCCGCAACATGAGTAGGATGATTGCACGATATGATGGCACAGGCCTATAGCCTATAAGGCCAAAAGAAAAACAACATGTTTAGCGTCCTGCCTTTTAAAAAAAGAAAGGGAAGGAGGAGGCTCTTTTGTTACCTCCAAAATGGCCGCCACTTGGACTCAGGAAATGACATACCGGCTTTATATGGGCTAGATGCAACAGGCAAAGAGGCCTAAATGGTGTCAACGTTTAAAAGTTATTATTTTTTCGGTTAAAAAAAAGAAAAGAAAAAGGAGGCGGCCTCCAAGAAGGCGTTGCATGTGGAGTTCCTTGCATAAGCTGCTACAGTTGTTATTAAACTTGATAACATAGACTGAGTGGTTCGAGATTTGTATCTTTGGATATTAGTAATCACTGATCAGAGTATTTGGATCCAAAAAGGATATGTTGACTTGCCCAATAATTTGCAGGCCTTGGACTTGAATACACTGGTAATCCAATACACTGGTAATCCAATACTCATTTGAAGTGCGCAGTCAGCACAGTTTGATGCTTTGGCTTAAAGGCACACAATCATTTGGTTTTCATGCATTTTGTTCGTTTCTAATAATAACACCACTCACAATCCAAAGAAGATTGTTCAAACCCTAGCCTGTTGAATTTTCAGCTCAGCGGATATTACACTTTTCGAGGAAATAGTGAAAAGCCAGGCACAATCTTTTGATCACGAAATACAATTTCGTCCATAGCACTCTTTATTTCCAAATATCGGTCAATTCACTGTTTGTTGGAAATCAGCTTTTTTGGATTTCTTCCAAATGAAAGCAAGCCAGACGGAATAATTTCAGGGGGTGCTTTGTACCAGTCCGATCTTAGTCCGATCTTGTATCCGAGTGAGCTTTTTGATAATAATTAGATACTCTACTTTTGTGCAAATGATATACCTTTAAATTAATTGTTATCTACAACCAAGAACTGCACAACGGCTGCCCCGCTGATGCACACACAGCAAAATGAACCTGAAAATTCAGCATGAGATATCATCTTTTTGTTCCATAGATGTACTTGTCGAAGTACGGCTATGTACGCCCCACCACCGAAGGCGCTAACATGAACGAAGAAGATATAATAGCGGGCATCTACAAATTCCAGAGCATGGCTCATATTGCGGAAACTGGTAAGTTTAACGACGATATTGCATACTGAAGCGGGATTCTATTGGGCTCTTGTCCGCCAAACTAATCGAGCAAAACGCAAGACAAGGGGACACACACAAAAAAGATATCTGTAGGAAGATCTAATTTATTTTGCCAAGTGGATTCTGCGGGCAACTCCACACCGCCCTCAGAACTGCAACAGATCGATTCCCAGCTTGAGCTTGGATAAGCACAGCTTTACAAAATGTATTACAATGCTACAACTTAAACCCAACCCTGAAATCTAGCCAAGCCTTACCCGCATAAAAACAATAGGAACCCACTTAGGCAACCTATTTATAGAACCTATTTTTGGAGCGCGCGCTGGCAGACCCAAAACCAGGTCAGCGCACCTGTGGCCCAACCCGCCAACAATGCGCCGTCAAAGCCCTTCAGCGTTAGTCTATGTAATAGCCTATTTCGCGTGAACAGATTTGCTGATTAATTAGGCAAGACCAAGTTTTTATTCTGCCCTAAATCGCATTCATTCGGCTAGGTTTGGTCTGATTCGGCTTCTCATTCGTATCTAGTTCTTGATTATTAATATTTCATTCTAAAGTTTTTCTTACAAACTGCGAATCGGGGCCAAGGGCGGACCCAGGGGGGCCAAAGGGGGCCATAGCCCCCCCCCCCCCCCCAACAAAAAAACGAATCAAAATATTTTTTTTTAGTGACTTCGCACTAAAGGCAGGCAATGAGTACACCACCATCTTTTCCTCAAAAAACTATGGTTAAAATGGTCAGAAATTGCCTCAGATCACACCACAGAGCATCTAGAACCCAAAAGATTTTCAGGGCCTTTAAGTGGGCCCCAAACCCCACGCAGTAATTGTTTTGGACACACTTTTTGGGGACCAATTTTTTTGGCCCCCTCCCCTCCAAAAAAAAATGGGTTCTGAATCCGCCCTTGATCGGGCCTAATTTCCCCCGATGCCATCAAGAATCATTTTTATTCGGGATAGATCTGGGTTTTCTTGGCAATAATTCAGGACTGTGTGAACCTAGCATTACCAACTTGTCAGGCGAATTTCATTGGCAATCGTTTTCCTTGGAAATTTGTTGGCCAAAATCAGGTATTCTGACAGAACGAATCCAAATCCTGGAGAACCCCCGGAGTCTACTTTTTAGTCTGTTTTTGTCATAACACATTTTGTGGGACGTGGTTTTGTCTCGTTTCACGGATATGACCCTAATATTTTCATGAAAAAAAGTTACGCCATAACAATGGCCTACGTGCAGATTCAGACGTGCCATTATGCAGCGGTAACAAAGAGTCTGGGTCTATGTCCTTTTTGCCCTCAGCCATGAAGTTGCACCTTTTTTGTGCCGGTCCTGGATACCTATCCCATCGACTGACTCACTCACTGACAGTCACTTATGATCGGTGTTTTTTTTTCAGACCAGATCTGTTATAAATCGGTTTCATCTTCTATTTGTTCATAAGATGTGTGTTTAAAGGCATTGTTCTTTCTTCACTTCATTAGGAGAAACAATAATAAAATTTACAAAAAGGCCTTATTGTGAATCTATAATTCCAATCCATTGATCATTAGTCACGTTTGTTTTCGACCAGTCCACGAATCTGCTGCCTTCCATTTGTGATTAATTATCCAAATTCCTGAAAATCGTCCGCGTGATTATATGTACAGGTTGACCAGGCCAAAAACTTTATAAAAAACAGATCAACTATTGTTACCGTTTCGTGCGCATCACGAATCTATAAGTAAAAAGGTCAGTCTAGTAGAAAGAACGCCAAGAACAAAGATGGCAGACTGACCGCAACTCTGCATTAATTTTGCGCAATGAAATAGAAAACTCTCATTCAGTGCAGGAGCAGTAATGAAAAAAAAAAAGAATTATACCGTGATAATAGAGTGGGCCTGTCTTTGCCATTTCATAGCTATTCCTGGATTTAAATTATTTTCATATTATTTAGTTTTACCATCTGTTTATAAGCCTTTTATGCCGGCTGCTGTATCTTGAATTATGCACGGTCAGATGAACTTCACATGCACTTGGGCGTTGCATCTGAAAACACTGTTCACGGGACACTCGAGAGATAGTTTCCAATACAATCAATGGAAAAATTATATACATGGTGATTCACAAAAATCGAAACCCAAATGGGTTTACCGTAAACCCGGATCCGCATTTCTAAAGACTCTGTGTTGCAGGTAGTTCAGAGAATGTTCTTTGTGATTTTGATTCAGTGGCAATGACTGCAGGGTTTTCTTTTGATGCCGCGAGACAAAAATATTTCCTCTAACTCCGCCGTGACGCATTCATATTTCGTTGACTTCAGGTGGGAATAAACCTTTTACTGGTTTTCTTCGTGCGTGGCCGCCTGGCAGGTATCTCAGAAGGAGTTCTTTGTTATTTTAATTTAGTGACAAAGAATGCGCATAAAGCCCGGCGCACACCTTTCCGATTTTAATAATCGGACCACTGGGCCACAGAGGTGTGCGCTGAAAATCAAGTGATCTAACCGTATATTAACCTATGTGGATTGCGTTCGATTACTTCCACCAGCTTACTCGTGCCTGGCTCCTCGCGTGAGAACAGACATGCGCAGTGGAGCTAAATAAAGGAACGGTTTCTGGTAAAGTTTCGTGCAAAGCCTGGAAACATGGGCGTCGCCATGATTTTTTCTAAAGGGGGCAAAACATATTTTCCCAAAAATTCCTGTATTTCTCAACATATTATCGATTTATCAGTTTTAGAGGGGGCAGAGACATTTTGCCCCCCCCCCCCCCCATCCATAAAATTTACACCAATATGACTACTCGCCTGCTTTTCTTTTCTTTTCTTTTTTCTTTTTTGTGTGGCTTTTCCGGGGTGAGGGGGGGGGGGTTGCGCCCCCCTCGCGACGCCCTGGAAAGTTGAATTTTGACATGACGCAGGCAGAAAAAAAATGTTGCAACCTGACGCCACTTTTTTCTTCATATATCATCTTAATGAAGGTCATTCATTGCAAAAATGATAAGACACAGACATGAATCTGGGATCGAGAAATATTTCCAATTTTTGTTTGGCGGCAATAATTTGGGACTGTGTGAACCCAGCATTGCTAACTCGTCAGGTGGATTTCATTGGCAATCGTTTTCCTTTGAAATTTGTTGGGCAAATCCGAAATCCCGGAGAACCCCCGGACTCTACTTTCTAGTCTGGTTTTTTTTTTGTCATAACACATTTTTGTGGGACGTGGTTTTGTCTCGTTTCACGGATAATGACCCTAATATTTTCATGAGAAAAAGTTACGCCTACAATTGCCTACGTGCAGAGTCGGACGTGCCATGGTGCAGCGGTAACAAAGAGTCTTCTAGGGTCTATGTATTTTTTCCCCATCATTGCAAACTTTGCAATATCCTGACTGTCAAAGAGGAACTTTGTGCTGGCCTTATTAATCCAGAGGCGGTCTTACAATATCATGTAAAATATTGGAAAAAGATTGTCTCGGTTTCTGGTCTGCGCGTGCATCGCCGTAGCCATGCGCGGCGGCAAATTTATTATCATTTTTTTTTCAATGCAAGATGATGTTTCAAAACCGCGCAAAACTCATGAAAAGCAAATGATCTTACAGGGTGAGTCAAAAATAGGGAAACTAAACCCAAAAAATTATATTTCATATTTAAAAGATATGTAGCACTAAAAATAATAATGACTGGGAAACCAATTTTCATAAGCTACTTTTAGATGAAAAAAAATACTGCAATTGCTCAATCCGTTCAAAGAATTCACCACTTAAACACAATGAACCTAAAACCCCTTTCGTCGTAAAATGCGATCACAATTCACAATTGTCTTCAAATATCACCGGCGATAAAATCTCAGTTTAAAAGTTAAAACCATTCAACAAAGTCCTTTTAAGGCCCGTCTTTCGAAAACAAGTCTTTCGAAAAAAGTGGATTTTAAGTCATATTGTTTGCCCAAGCGGGGTTGTTAATCAAGATATTGTGTATTACAGTTGTTGAAACAAGTATTCTGTGTCTTTTTCTGTGTTGTTCCAAACAGTCAGAATACACAATAAATTGCTTTATTTATAGACGAAACTGGTTTTAGGGTCACTGCGTGTAAAATGATGACATTCTTTGTAGGGATTGGGTAATTTTAGCAATAATATTGTTTCATCTAAAAGTAGCTTACGAAATTGACTTTGCAGTCATTATTATTTGTTGGTGCTACATATTTTTTTTTAATATGAAATATAAGTTTTGGGGTTCTGGTTCCCTTTTTTTTTACTCACCCTGTATATCCGTGTTTCGTCCCGAAAATAGAATTTCGGGTATTCGTGGCCATAATTCGGGAATGTGTGAACTATAGCATTATGTAGCGGTCTAACTGCAACGGTGGAAAAAAAACCGTAGTGGTGAAGGGAAAATCCGGTAAACCGGTAAAATCGGAAAGGTGTGCGCCGAGCTTTAAGTTTACACATACCTTTGCAAGCGTTTCGTGCAGTGCGTTCGATTACTTCCCCCAACTTACTCGCGCCTGGCTCCTCGCGCGATGACAGACATGCACAGTGGAGCTAAATAAACAAAAGTTTCATGCAAGAGCTGCCAAAGTTGAACTTTGACATGACACTGAGGCTGCATCCGAATCAAGTGTCAGAGGTAGGTCTAGGTCCACGCCCATTGAAAATACGCGGGGACGCGCTGACAGTAGCCGGCCGTAGCTCTGGAAGCCCGTTTCGGACACGGACTGAGGCGCCCGCCGGATGTCACGTTGGCTGCCATGTTTATTGCATGGCAAGTTATGGGTGCAGACCAGTAAATCGGTCCGAAATTGCCTGCGCCGGCCAAATCACGATTTGCATGCCCTCAAAATCTTCGGTATTTGAGCATGCTGTGGGACATGAACTTGAGGGATTGTAAAAAATATGGGTGGAAGCCGTGCACAGGACTGGGAGCTTGCAGTTCTGTGTAATTTTGATGTAATTTGGACCCTAAAAGCGCTCTATTTTGCAATGGAGTGTAGGCATCGT